GGACAGACCTCGTCAATTTAAAATCAGATACTGGACTGTTTGAAATACTACCTAATCATTTTATAAATAATGTTTGTGCAAGTGGATCTGCAGCCCAATTCTAGCAGAATGTAAGTTCCCTGTGTAAAAATCTCCATCTTTAAAGTCTCATTTATGAACGTGCCCATTGTGTTCTGCAGATGTAATAATATAAACAGTGTGTGAAACATAATTTGTATTTCAGTGTCCCTTTTACATTAGTGTTGCACTTGTAACAAATTTCTGCAAAAAGAAAATCAGTATTGTTATCCTTTAATTGAAGCTCAACAAAAAGTTCATTCTATGTGCACTTCTGCTGACAATCACATGTTCATGTACACACTGGATCCGTTTAAATAGTCTTGTTCGCTTGGAAAGATTCCTAACTGAGTAAAATGACCCAGAAACATCTAAATAGACACTGTACGAGCTGAATGAAGGAAAGGAGCTTTCTTTGTCATCTCCTTTTCGCATAAAAAGACCTACTTCCTTGCTAAACATGAAAAAGGAGGTTATTAACTCAGTTCCCGCTGACAATCAAAGCAATTCTTGATCGTGTTCATCTTAGTACACTAACTGATTTTGTCTTGACAAATCTGATGGGATTTTAGAACCACACAGCTAAGTGCAATTGTGGTTTCATCCTCATTGCGGTGCGCTCGTCATTTCTTAAAGCCTTAAGAGGTTCTGTTACCTTCTCATTAACCTCTGCTTGACTTGGTCTTTTTTTCAGTATTTTTCCACACCATCAGACTTTCCATCATCTCTCTGATAACAGGCGTCAGTTCCACTCTAGACCAGCCGATGTATCACTGTGTTGTGTCTCAGTAGTCACCGTATCAGAGCTGCCTCAACATATATGACTCAGAGGTGACCAAGTATGAGTGGAAAGAATGGCAGATAAAACAGTGGTTTTAGGCAGGCCGTGTCATTGCTGCCTTTTGGTGCAAATGGTTTCAGCACATCTAATCGTGTTTGTTGTCTGGAGCGTGGATCTCCATCACTCAAACACACATATGGGAAAAATGCGCGTCATCTGTAAGTGGATGAGACTGACGTATTGACAAACCCGGCCAAAGAGACATCATCCTAGGTTTTTGTCTTTCTGGTCTCCGCTGCATCTTTTAAAATATCTTTATGGTTTCTTTCATTTCATCGCAAGAACAATCCATCGATCTTTGAAATGATGGTCTGTGCAGATGGAAAAAAGAGACATTCATAGCCTTGTTTTTGTTGTTTGGCAAAACAGTGAATATCGGCACAGTTATTTTCTTCTTCTTTTTTCATTGTTTAATATGCAGGGAACCTTTGTGTCTGATTGAGTGGGAGTTTTCACTAATGAACGCTGGTGAGTCACGTATACTGTAACCTTGGGCATCTCAGATAATTGTGTAGAAGACAGAAGCAAACAGCGTCTTCCTGACATTTAGATGAAGTGTCTAAAAACACAAAACTCTGAAGAGATAACGCAACTAAAACAATCAAACAATTATGTAAAGAGGATAGATCAGTACTGAAGGATGGTGAGTCAGGACGGACAGACACAGAAGGCTGGATTTGCCGTCTGCTTTCCCATTAATGACATCCTTCTTCTGTGCGTGCATGTGTGAACAGTGTTAGCGCTCTGCTTCCGAGTGGGTGAGTCCTGCAAGGCTCTGACAGCAGCCCTTTTATATCTCCATTGTCCTGGGATGCTTCAGGTAATTTGCCCATCTATTGTCGCCTTCCACCTATAATCCAGCTCTAACCAAGCGAGAATGCTGCATGTTCCTCCGAACGCCACTCCGTTGGAGGCGGGAGACTGGCAGGCCTGGATGTGTGTAATGTTCTGTGGACTTCTCGCGTTGCCCTGCAACTGAGAGGACGGAGCTTCTAAATGGAAATGCTCAGGGCAGCATGAAGTTAAAACTCCTTGAAAGAGTAAGCATATATTTAGGGTGAAAGGTACTCCTAAGGCAGCTTGTTATTAGACGTGTAGAGGAGCATCACAAAGTGTGTGTGTGTTAGTGTGTGTGTGTGTGCGGGACGAGTTACTGCACGTCAAAGTGAACTAATGGGGGAGTTTGTGATTGCTGGCTGGGGCTGAAAATGTTGCAGAGCTTTGACAAACAGCCGTTCATCTGGCAGCACAGCAGAGACGGCATCGCATAACTCACAGCTCGGGCCGCGCTACTTGCGGGAAAAGAGCGTGAAATGCCAGCTTCTTTGATCTTGATGCGTTTGGCTTCACACCGTGGACCCTGAAAAAGGTCTGGGCTTGTGGAGTGTACCGCCGCTCGGTGCAAAATAAAGACACTTACTGCTGGTGGAGATGCCGGGCTTTTGGTCCAGAGAGAACACTGCAGTGAGGCAGAGCGAGGGCTTTGTCGTTAGTTATGGCGGGGGTGCGTAAGCCGCTCTGGCTACTTGACGTCAGCCTCACGCCGAACCACCGGGAGCGTTTGGCGGCCTGCGTGCACCGCGGCCTGTCCGACATTAGGATCAACAGGATTACGGCTGGGGCAGAAGGAAAGGATGGAAGTTTGGGCCAAGAGTAGATGTCATGTTTTCCCAACAGCAGCAAGTTAAGCCGCTGGAACAAACTCCAGTTTGGGTAGAAATTTGGTCGGCATTTAAAGGAAACCCAAAGGGAAGATGCTGGTGGAGATGGAGAGATTGGTAGTCATGTGATGGCTTTTTCTTCCCCGGGAAATGGAATTGTAACTGGGAAGCGAAGAGTTAAATAGCTCCCGTTGTAACGCTGTGGTGGTTTGGCAAACAAACCTCTTGTCCTGTCAGTCAGTTTGTCTTCTTAATAAGGGTACACATGTATTCCCTCTTCACTTTTACAGCTGGGCTAATGAGAAGGCCACAGTAAATAAGAGCCACAGGAGAGATATCTAACGGGAGTTAATGGGCCACTAAGGGAATGTGTGGTTTTTGAAGGCGGGAATGTTGTAATGATGAGACGATCTCTGATCTTTCAAGGTTCCTTTAAGTGTGCTATCACACTCCAAAACTCACATTTTGTATCACAGGGATTCCCCTGGACTCTTACTTCATTAAAAAAAAAGGGGGTACTTAATCAAACACACCCCCAACTTCAAATTCTCAGCATGAATATGGCAACGTGCAAACATTTGTGCGGAAGGAAAAGTGAATTATCCGATGAATTCAGATTTTCTTTCAACTGTTTCATTTTCTGTTTCACAATAGGGGAATGCACAAAGCTTAAAGATAACAAAAACAGTACAACTGACAAGAAAACAAAATAGTGATGGGAATACACTTGACAAGAGTAGGGGGGAAGTGGCTGTGTGGCACTGTGTGCAGTGTAACCTACTTTCTCCCAGGCAGCAGCAACAGGAAAAAAAAGTATGCTGCTACTCTCTGCCACACCGTGACACGAGCAGAATGTATGAGTTTCCGCGACAGGCGTCAGTGGAAGGGGCTTTTATGCGAAGAATTCATTTCACACCCTCTCCATTTCAGAAAGCAGTGTTCACGAGGGAAGCAACGACAACGATGGCAGCGTGTGCGGGAGCGACTCTGTCTTCTACAAGCAGAGCGAAGGTGAGACGTGTGCCGCAGATGAGCCGCTTCAGACACAATCAACATCATTATCTCTGCCACTTCACAGCTTTTTTTTTTTCATGCCCCTTACATATTGTTTTTTTTTTTCCTTCCACGTCATCACAATCATCTCTGTTTACTTCAAATTGTGAGCTTTTCTGCTTTTCCCTCTGTAATAGCGGCCTTAACTGATGAGAACTGTTTGGCCAACACCGTGATTGTGTGTGTGTGTGTGTGTCAATGTGTGTGTGTGTGTGTGTGGGCTCTGCGACAGTGAAATGAACAGCAAGAGCGCTCTTTTAATAATCATGTTGCACATGTTGCAGTTCACATGTGCGCAGTCTCACATGAATCCACAGGACACGCCCTCTGGCAAACACACGCACACACACCGAGCTAAGTACAGTCTCATTCCCTGCACAGGCAGCCCTGTTGGACATGCAGGCTAATGCCACGTACACACACACACACGGGTTTGTGCAGAAATTAATAAGCAAACAAAGCGAATGACCCCGGTTGAACAGTTTCATTAGTTTGCCAGTAACTCTAAATTCTAAACGGCAATTGACTCCTAGAAATGTAACGACTGATGTTTTTGGGAGTTCCATTAATAAGTTATTTTATACTTATGTCTGTTAGTCAGCACCAAAATGACTAGAACAATGTTACATTCACAGATCATATTCAGGCGTAAGCATCTTTGACAGACTCTGACAGTAAATGTTTCCACTCTGGTTCAAGCTTTTTGTGCTGTTCTCCCTTTTCTTAAGAGCCAAAAGGTTTGGATGGTTAAAGATGCTCAGCATTATTAGCACTGTGCTAGAGGCAACGGAAAACTTCATCTGCACTGAATAAATTCAATACTAAAAGGGAAACTCTAACCGCATATGTAAACCTCTGATTCACTGGTAGTGCAAAAAATTAGATTAAAGCTGAAATACCTTCCACTCGTTGCTGCTCATCTGAAATTTCATTTCCTGACATAAGAAATAGAGAACCTATCTGATTGAAGAAAGGGAGTGTTTACACATTTTAAAAGTAAAGAATAAAGTCTATCAAAACAGAAGGAAGGGATTGGGTTGATTATTATTCAATGTGCATTTTTGCATTCATCACTATATCCAGGATTAGTCTGACCTGAAAAGTTTATTAACTAGACTCTGGCACGGTACAGGTAGTTTTTCCTCATATGGGGACAGTGTTTTTTTCTTTGAACCGGTATTTAAATTTAATTTTGGTCCTGAGGGTCCAAAAGACTTATTTCCAAAATTGTAATTACAAAATGTAATGTTATAATATTATTTTAGATTTCAAACATTTGTGTCTGATAGTGTCTGCTATGAAGCTGAGTGGTCAAAGTGTCAGAGGCAACAATGGAACATGTGAGGATGCAGGCTCTCAGGATGTTCATCCCAATCTCATAAATCAGTTTCTGTCTTTCAATGCAGTTCAGAGTTCAAGGAGGTCTGCCGTGTGATAATTTCTGTGACGTCTGAGCTCTGCCTGTATATGTGTGTGCTCCCAGGACACAGTATGGCAGAGACACTCACAGTCGCCCTGCGTGTGGCTGAGGAAGCTATAGAGGAGGCCATCGCCAAGGCAGAGGAGTTCCGGGACAGCTTGGTGAGACGCCATCTCTTTCTCTTTCATCTCCCTCCTCACTTTAAATAACGTTCCTTTCTTCTCATTTCTCATCTCTTTAATCCCCATTTTCTCAGTCGTCGCCTCTGTTTTCTCCTCTTTCCTCCTGTCTTCTGTTGGTCTTGGTGTCAGTAAGATGCGGTCATGCTTTTTTGGCTGACGTATGTACAGGACCTCTCCGAGTAACGCATAGTCACTTTGAATACAAATGTGCTTGTGTGCATGTGTAGGAAAAGCAGAATGAGGCTCGGTATTTGCGGGACCACAAAGAGGAGCTCATAGAGGAACTGGCCACAACAATTGTCCAAAAAGTAGGTTTGCATAGACTGTGGTTTAATTCCATGTCTCCAGTTTTCTCCCCCTTTTAAGAGTTCTGGTTTTATATTTTCAATTGCTATTCATCATTTTACCATGTTACCTTATCCCACGGATATGGCTTTGCTCTCGGCCTCTGTCATTTTCCCTGGTTTCCTCAGATAATCCAGAGGAGGAAGCGCTCAGAGATGCAGACAGAGTATGACTTTGTCTGGCCTCAGCCTCAGTCTCTGATTCAGCCCAGTGAGCTGCCTTCTCCTTCTCAGCCTCACACTTCATCACAAGACCCTCTCAAGACCTCATACTCTCTCTGGGTGAGTCTCCTACTGTGTCGAAAACTGCATCCACATGTGCTCCAGTCTCGTCAAAACAGAGCTGCCCTGCTCGTGGGTGTGAATTGATTCTCAAGTAAAGAGGCTCGGCACTCTGATTGTGAACCATGTGTGAAAAGAAGGGTGTTTGTTTGTTTGTTTGTTTGTTTTTATTTTTGGACCAGACAGTTAGTTTGAGAAGAAAATCTATAAACACACACACACACACACATACAGAGGCCAGTATTTTTCTCCATGTAATTCATAACATGTCCGATTGTGCATACTGAAACCAGATTAATATAATTTCAAAACTGATATAATTTCAACTTCCTTCCCCAGTGATTTTGAGGAACCGGCCAGATTGCCGGCTGTTTATAGTCAGGGATCAGGGCATAGCAGGACACATCAGCTGTCACAGGGAGACTGGATGCACTCAGATGGACTGGTGACATCTTCCTTGTGCCAGATTCCCCAGTTTCTGTGTCACAGTCTTTGATAGTAACTGCCCTTACAGTGTGTAACGGTGCGTTTGCTGTTTGCTGTGAACAATATGTATTAACAGAATAACAACCAGCTCCACTTCATGCCTTCAGCTTCGATATGTCAGCCTGTGTCAGACACACACTGTGCAATCACTTTTTTTTGCATTTATCTTCAAGTCCGACCATTTTTTCCCTCTTTTATTCCTACCTTTTTTAAAAATCAATTTAGCATCTGTGTATCATTCTGACCCAGCTGCTTGAACGGTAACAATGACACTGTGCCACTTCAGTATTTTCCATTTGTTACTGATCCAGAGGGTAATCAACCAAAACAGTTTTTCTGGTTTCCATTTAAAAATCTCCATCTCACATTACAAAAACCTCCTTCTCTAGGCTATGCAGTCAACTGTAGTTTTTTTGATCTACTTTGATTATCAATTTAGGGATCCTTGAAAACTACCTGCATCAAACATTTGAATTAATTTCTCAATATCACCAAAAGGAATTTTTTCAAGACTCTCAAGAGTTTTTGCCAAGAGTAAAGCCAGCAATTCATGTTAGCATTTTGGAAAAGACAATTGTCAGGCATTTCTTATTCATGAAATCTTTGGATTTGACTGTACATTGAATTTACTCTGAATTATCTATTCCAAGTAATTATCTATGGAATTATTTGCTAAAGTCATTAGAACAGCTGACTATAGATAGAAATTTCAATATTAAGTTTTTTGCCATGTCCTCCAATTGTCATTTCAGAATCGGAACTATTCCTAATCTTTACTATATTTACTGATGTGTATTCCATGCTGATTAAAATCCAGATTTATTTAAAAATAACCAACAAAAATACGGTGTGACTTTCACACGTACTTTGTATTTCTTCTTTGAGTAGAGAGTTAAGCACAGCTGTGAGTAACATAACAGGCACATAGCTGCATACTGATGTTTCAGAAGAAAACCTTTTTCTCCCTCAGGAAGCAAAAGCATACAGGGTGTAGAAAGCCTCAGCTGAGCCAAATATAGTCGGTTTTATCTGATTCCTTAAAGTGACCTCAAAAGAAAATCTAAAACTATGCATGGTATAGCAACAATATACCCGTTACGCAGACACTCAGATATATAAAATGTGCACACACAAACCCCAGCTTTCAGTACTCATGCCTCCCATTGTTTCACACCACCAGTCAGCAGGGACCCCTTCAGATTTGTCATTGTTGTGTGTACGAGCTGAGCATCAAAGCTGTGCTCCCCGGGTCTCTCTTCAGTTTTATGCCGTTTCACTCATGGAAGATCAAAGTCCTGTGAAATACGCAGAAATCCTCTCAGCTTGCTCAACCGGGCTGTTCATCCTCTTTCTGCAAACACACACTCACTCAGACACAATGCATGCAAATGTGCCTCAACTGATGTACTGCATCCCTGTTCCTGTAACTCAGTGTCATGTCAATCCCATTTTTCTGTGAGGAAGGATCAATGCTGACATTTTATAACAATCGCAGCAGAAAAAGCCCCAAATGATGTTTCTAAAAAGAAATCTCTTCACACTGTGTAACAACAAAAGAAAGCCGATTCCTAACATGTGACTTTTCCTTTAAGTCAAATCCGGAGCTGCATGAAAAGTTAATAAGATTGAATTAACTCGTGAGAAAGATACATTACACTACGATCTTCATGCGTTACCCATGTGAGTGAGACAGGACGCGGCGCAGCAACTTGTGGCTGGTTAGCTGCTTTGTAGCCCCATCTGCTGATGAAAACACCAAAACACACCCAGTGACCTTGGGACTTAGGGAAAAAGTAACCAAAAAACAATTGATAGTTCCTCTTTTTATATTGAAATGAACACGAGTCCATCTATATAGCAAGCAAGTCATCTTTATAAAGATTATGTATACAAAAGTATTTTCAAATTCCTCTCAATTAAAAATAATAAAGGTTAGTAGCATATTTATAGTGCTATAAATCCATGTTACCTGGGAGGAAAAGAGTCCTCAGTCTCCCCCCTACCCTCTGTGCTTGTGTTTACGTCTGCATACTCCTGTTTTGCTTATTCTCGTGCGTCTCCTTGTGTGTTTCCATGTGTGTGCTCGCAGCGTTCACGGTCAGCCTTCTCCCTCACCAGTGACGACTCCCCAGAGAAGGGTCCGGAGGAGGAGGCTGCCGGGGCAGGCGGCGGGGGCCTGCAGGAGTACGCCTCTCTAAAGCGGGAGGCCAAAGCTGCCTCCTTACCCAGCTGGAAAAGTATGGATCGCCTGGACAACTCGAGTAAATACCCCGCTACCCAGGCTATTGACTGATTATTGTTTTACTTTCCCTGATAGAAGCCGTCATCGTCTTAACGGCAGTCTCAAAATGCTTGCTGCTTTGTATGCTTTAACATTTAACACCAATATGCCTCCTTTGTCTGAGACAAGTGGACGAGAGGTGGTATTAATCCGTATTTGAAAGCTATTTGTTGGACTTTGTATTTGCTCCTCCAGGTGCGTCCTCGGTGCTTCAGAGCCCAGATGGGAACTGGCTCGCTCTGCACAGTTCTCAGCTGTCTCGGCCCAGCCTGCTCACCAAAAGGAAGAGCCTGGTGTTCAGCGTTCTGGAAAAGGAGTCCAACGTCGTCTCCGCTTATGACGAGATGGGATCCGACTCCGAGGGGGCGGACGAGGGCGGGTGGGGCAAGGCTCTGCGGCAGTTCCGTCGCAAGCTGTCAGACGAGACCTACTACACAGACTCGCAGCACGACCCCGAGTGGACCTACACGCAGCACCTGCCCGTTACCTCGCCGTCCTCCGGCCAGTACACCAACACGGAGACTCTCAACTCGGACTCCGAGGCCTCGTCCGTGCTGTCCGCCTGTCCTCGCAAACCCCACCACAACCTGCTGAGAAAGAAAGGGCCCCCGGACCCGTACCTGCACCCTCACCAGCAGCCCCTCTACCACCAACATCTCCAGCAGAACTTCCCCCCATACCCAGCTCCATCTGAGGGCCTGGATGTGAACTTCAACCCCAAGGTGATGCGTCGGTAGAATTCAGCTGTGGCTTATTCTGTACTTTGGGGAACACCTGGAGAGAATACTTTATGTCAGTGTGGGAGAGAAGTTATGATTGTGCGACAATCATGAATAAAAGTATTCACACCTTGCACTGAAAAATAAAAAATGCTCTTATTGAACAAGATATCCTGTAGACATAAAATCTTTTAGGTTTAGGGTTACTTTAATATGACTATCAAGTGACTTTATCAGGTTAGATATAGAGCTGTCCTAGAAAAAATAGGCCCAGTAACTGATTTAATATAAGACTTTGAGAGGGGCCGCAAATGAGAAGTTATGAGTCCTGAAATTAATAACGAAGATTAAAAAAAGAGAAAAGGATTGAGTCTTTCCTGTCAAAGCTTTTCATGTCAGATCTTGATCTGAGAAGCCCTGTGAATAATTGCCTGTTAGGATGCGCAGAGCCCTGTGGGTGACCTCGTGCTCTGTGGTCTCCAGGTGATGGGAGACAGCAGTGAGGCCGAGGAACGGCAGTGCGATCCGGTCAGAAGGTCACGGCGACGCAGGAGAAGCAAAAGGGAGTCCTCCACAGAGCAGGGCAGGCCTGCCGGCCAGAGTCACGCACAGTCCATCTACCCCTTGGTGCAGGTAGAAAAAAATCTCAAACTGACTTCTTTACAGATTGATTTAACTTCAATCATAGCTTGACTGATAATCTTTTAGCTTGCTGGCTTAAAGATCATTGCATAATTGTGTCTGGTATGTTTTAAGAACTATCAAGCCTCTTTATGTATTTATTCAAGGAAAACAGTGGTTTTCTTCTCAACGCCCTGCTGAAGAGGGGTTTAAGTGAGGAGCAGGCCACGTCTGAAGGCCATCCAGCTGCCACAGCTTCCCCAGACACTGTCAAAAGTCCCGCCACGTCCCCCAAAGCTGAAGACTCGGGCATAGCGGCTCCAACCTCGCCGGCCTCGAAACCTCCTCAGTCCCGCACTCTGGTTCAAGGGCTGCAGCGTTCCTCCAGCAGCGCGGGGCCTGGACCGCTTTCCAGAGACCTTTTGGAGGCGGAGCTACAATCCAGAGTCACTCAGCTGGTCAACAGCAAAGAGAGCAGCTCCTCTGATGAGGAGCTCACGAAGTGGCGCGTGGACAAACCCACAGATGACAAAGAAAGTGAATGGCAGAAAGAGAAATCCAGGTCAAAAGACACGGAGAGACAAAAGCAGTGGGCAAGTGACAAGAGAGAGAGAGAAAGTGAAGCAGCTGAGCTAGTGAATGGACCAGAGATCAAAAGAGACGTGAGAGTGGTAAAGAACGCGTCAGTGCGCGAGGAAGGGAGAGCCTGGGAGGGTAGGTTAGAAAAAGGAGGTGGCGATTTGGAGGAGAAAGTAGCCGAGCCGGAGCTGAAGAGAACAGACAAAAGAGAGTTTAACAGACAAAGTAAGAGGCAGCACAAAAGAGACGCGGAGAAGGAAGCAGGACCCAAAGCTGGAGTGAGGAGGAGTGGATCGAGCACAAGTTCACCTGCTGTTACACCTTCATCCCAGGAGGGGGGGCTGTCAAACAACCAGGTGAGGAGACATGAAGAAAGACAGTAGCTCTGACCTCCCTCCATCAAACCCTCTCTGCTTGTCCGTCCGTCTGTCTGCTTTGTTGTTCAATCTTTCCCTTCTCTCTTTCATTTGAACCTTGAAGTGTTTTTATCTCCCCACGTAACACCTTACGATGTGAACATATGCCACCTCTCTCTGACTCCCTCCTGTGCTTTCTCTGTTTTGCTGCGCTTGTGTTGCTTGTTTTTCTTTTTCCGCGCTGTGTGTTTCATTGTGTATGTGTATGTTTGTGTCAGGTGGGACAGAATGACTTGGAACAACAGCAGAGGCTTCAGCTGCTGTCCTCTGTCTTACAGCAGGTGAGATGATACCGTGATAGGTAGAGACCGTGATGATAGGTGGGAATGTCGTTCATGCAGGAAGTCATGTTTATGGGCACAAAATGGATTCATCTTTTTTTGTGGCACAAATGCAGCTCACGCAGACGCACACACATTCAAAGCTGCCTTTCTATTTGCACAAATTCAGGATAACTAAAACACTCGAAAACCATGATGCCTGCACGTAGCATCATCTTGCAGTTTTTAAAGGCATTCATAAGAGATCTACAAAAACAATTTATACTAATAAAAGCTTCACAAGTCACATTGCAACTCCTTACACAGGTACAGTTTCATGTCAATTCTTACTTTTCTCAACCAGACAAAGCTGTTGCTGAAAAAAAAACTATTGAAACAAAGAAAAAAAATACATTGCTAAAACCAAAATGAATCAAAATACTTCATATTTAGCTATTATCTCTGTAAAAAATTATTTGTACGTGTATTTCTCTATACACTGCTAAAGCATTTATATTGGTAGATTTATATTTAGCCGGAGTTCTTAGTAAGTACATCATCTGGAATCCTGTCAAACCAAGAGCATCTTAAAGTTGATTTTCATAGGAAAAAAAGTGCTAAATATGGTTACTTATGTCATAAATAATGTTCCTGGGCTGATGTTTTTCTTTTGTGAGGTCATTCAGACACGGTATACACACAGAATAAGGAACTGACTCACAAACGTGAGAGCAGAGAGGCGATGGCGGCGGCTGGCCATGTGCATTATGAACGCCCTAATGAGTCACACTCATCTTTCACAAAGTGAGCACCCCATGTACTCGTGTGATCTATTTCTGATGGCTTCACAGCTCTTTTTTTTTTTAAACAAAAACAAAAACAAATAAAAAGCATAGCAATGGCAGTGATGAATAGTCCACATTTGTTGACTACACCAAATATAGCTGATTTAAAAGGCAGCTGTATTTAGGTTGCAGCCATTAGATATTAGTAGAGCCTCCATGCAATGTTTGTCCATCTACAATGGCCCCCATGTTCAAAACACAGAAAAGACAAGTATTAATTGAAATAAGAGTTTACATACAAATATGGAGTCCTGACATTAGTTTATTTTGTTTCTAATATTTTATGTACTAATATTAAAGTTCTTTGAAAAGTCTATAATTTCTAATCCCTGCTTGATCAATACTGACGACGTGGTCCTTTGGAGTGAATGTGGACACCTCCACTCATGTGACCTGCACAGATCAATACCTCAGACTGTACTTCTCAGTCTTTTTAAGATCACCTCAGTCCATCTAAGACTTTTTTAGATCACAGAATAGTGAGTCTTTTTATTTTATTTCATGATGAAATCCGTCTCATCCTTACCTGCCTGTTCTGCCACCGGCTGAGGCTGGGCCTTTCATACTGTCATACTGCCTGAGAGTGGAATCGATGTGTCACCGTTGCCACTGATCAAAGCTTCCTCCACTGATTCATTCATTATCGAATGAAATCTGCCCCCCCCTTCACTTCTTTGCCTCTTCCGGTTCGGTGGTTTCATCTCTTCAGGTGAATGAAATAGGAGCTTTTCTTACAGCTCATGTTAGCCATTGAATCCTGGTTTGGCCTGAGAGCTTTTGCATTTGGAGGTGAGCTTTAATTTGTATGAAAGTTAGCCCCGTTAAGTCAATATACTGATTGGCCTTGAAGGCAGAAGTCTAACATAGTTAACCTCCTTTTTTCCATTCATTTATTATGAGCATTTGATACTGTTGTAAAAGTTTATCATAAACTAGTTTGTTCATCCATTCCTGATTCATCCTGTTCATTATGCACTGGAAGCTGTATATTTGAGCAGTGTCACTGAATCTACACAAAGGACTTTAATCATTCAGACGCAAGTTCCTTATTTTTTTAAGCATTCTAAAACCAACCCAGTCATGTGACTGAATTGATGCTCATTAGAATCTGTTTACAGTGATTGTGAGATGTTGCATGTGTTTTTTCCTGTCTTTTTTTGCCCTGGCTTCAACCATTTTTTAAATACTTTTTAGACGCTCATGCGGATTTGAGTACTTATAAAACAGCATTTAAAAAAATAATTGATTTGTCTTTACAGTTGATGTAAACATCATCACCTTTGGTTTCCAAGTAGATTTAATAACGTGTTCTTGCTCTGTTGGAAATGGGGTTTTAATTTCTGACTGAATCAGAGCTCCTGCAACCCACTATTTCTAATAGGTGCCAAACTACTGAGAGACACTAGTGGTGTCTTTTTACGGCTGAAAGCGTTTCTCGCGGTGGTTTTGTTTGGATGTCATTGCTTTTCTCCCCCCCATATTCATCATGTCAGTACTCACATCTTCGGTCTGCACATTCTAATTATTTTTCCAGATGAAAAATATGTTGCTGTTTGTGAGATGCTATCGTGGCAAACATGTGTCCGTATGCTAAATGAAGCCCTTTGTTTGGCCCTCAAAGTGAAGCCTATCGTGTTGTGTATCTCCTGTTTTTACTGTGCTGGCTCACTTTGCCTTCACTATGCCTTTTACTCATAGTGCATTTCTTTTTAAATTAATATCTGGCTTGATATTTTAGGAAATGCCACTTTAAATCAAAAGGTTTTTTGTTTAGTTTCTCTGCTTGTTTGGTTTTTAAGCGTGTGTCTTCTCGAACTGAATCAGAAATGCTCAGCAGCCTCGCTCTGCAGCATCACCACAGAGGTGCTTAAGGTCTTGAACGCCACAGAGGAGCTGATTGGAGAGGCGGGAGGGGACAGCTTCACCCCGTCTGAGTCCATGAGCGCCTCTCCTATATCCAGCAGCTCCGAGAACCGCAGGCTGGACCAGAGGCTCACCAAGATGGAGGAGAACGTGAGCTGGAGAAGCACCTCAGTCAGATTGTCTCGCCTCATGGATTCCGGCGGGGATGTGACGCGGGGCTTTGTGTGGTCTGTTCTGGACAGGTGTACCTGGCTGCTGGCGCTGTGTACGGCCTGGAGGGGGCGCTGGATGAGCTGGAGCAGTGCGCCCGCAGCATCAGCAGTGGGACCACTGACACAGAGCTGTCCTTCCTGGAGGACCAAGTGGCCACAGCAGCAGCTCAGGTCCAGCAGTCGGAACTACAGGTACCGGACAGGATAGCTTAGATTCTCCTTTCTTTTCCTTTTTTTCAGCAAGCTTTGTCGTGCTCATTGAACACAGTGTTCTGACCAAACTCAGCTGAAGCATACATTTCCTTACCATGCAAAGTGCGACTGATGTGACTCCTCTTTGTGCACACAGGTATCAAATATTGAGGCCAGGATATCGGCCCTGAAAACAGCTGGGTTAAATGTGACTGTCTGCGATCACTTCTCCAAGTTTAAGCCCAAGTCCAAGGTATTTACCTCTCACTAATCCTGAGGATCTTACATACCACACAAAATCAGAGCTTTTTTCCCCAGATCTGTATGGTCATAGTTACTAACTTATGGTAAATGGTATGTGTCTGTAACTGTCTCATCACAGCCTGAAACGCTGGACTCATCACGCCATCAGAGGAGGAAACTTCCAGCACCTCCATTAAAAGGTAATAAATAAGCGGTTGTCTTCCCCTCAATTCGAAAATAAAAAACTTTGCAGTCAAAGAAAATTTAAGCTCAGAAAGAAATAAACAGATACAGCTGACAGTCATTTTCGGTTGTCATTTCACTCCGCAGTGGTTGACTAGATGGAGTTGTTTTTACATACAGTGACGTTGTGCCCACATGCTGTTGATGGGTAGAATCTGATGAGTGCTGATGAGATCATGTGTATGCACCAGCGTTTTTGTGGATGTGTGCTTGTTTGAGTGAGTTAGAGACAGCTGGAGATGGAGAAAAACAGAAATGGAGTCAAGAGAACATTTTTAATTAAGTTTTTTTTCTTTTTTTTTTACATTTTGTCCAAGAAAAGTAGAGAGGCTGCTGAATGGAAGTGAATGCAGTGCCTAAAAAAAGGACTCATAGACTGAAAAGCGCCATTAGATGCAAAGTAGCCAAATGGAAACACGCATAGTACAAGGGGATAAGCTGCTCCATCACCCAACAAGAAGTTGCATCCTTTCATGAAAGTAAAAAGCTTTTTTTTCTGTTAGAGCCTTCTTTATATTCTTTTTTTTATTTCATTCTTTTTCTTCACTCGTATCCATACAATAGGTCTGAGTCAGGGAGGCTTTGTCAGCATGGCTTCAAAGATGAGTAGCAGATCATATCATTCATTCCAGTTTAGAGTGTCCTCTCCAGCCATCCATCACACATAAAGCACATTGCGGCCAGACCGGCTGTCCAGACATTTAGACCTTTGTAATCTGTGTTTAGATGAATTCAATCTTACTCATAGTCTTTTTATTATATAACCCAGACTGTTTTTATTTTTTTCTATCTTTTTTTTTTGTTTTGTTGCATCAGATAAAAACGAATCAGAGCAGCAGGTGAAAGTACTTCGGCCACAGTGACAGGCAACAGCACAACAAGTCCCTCAGGGCTACTTCAGAGCCCCGGGGACAGGGGCCCATCACGTCCAGTGCCTTGACCCAGTGTCTGCCTCCAGCTCTTGGCCAACCAGGGGCCAACACCTACCCCATCCAGCGCTCATTACTCCACCGCAGCAGTCCCGCCTCTCAGAAAACAGGACAGGCCCTTTCCTCTAATCCCTACTAATCAACAGTTTCCCCCCCCCCACACCTTTGATCCATCAATCAAAGGGGGACTCAGCAGTCGGTGTGTCGGCCTTAAAATCTGCAAACACTCCCAGTGATGCATACGACTTAAAAGAATATCTGTAAAGTCAATGAAAAAAACGCTTCTTTTTTCTCTCCGTTTGCAAGAGTGTTGTGATTCTAATGTTCAATGAAGCTGTGGAAAAACTGTGTGAAAAAACTTTGATTCAGTGTCCCAAAAGGAGGCGGAGCCGAGTTTTATACTTCATCTTCCTTATTACAATGTGGTATGCGAAATCTTTGAACCCCTACTCACAACATTTCATTTATCATTTCATTTTTTTAGTTTTTCTTTTCTTTTTTTTTCTTTTTTTTTACAAAAACATATGACCGCTAGCAAACAGTAATCCTCATATGGGGAGTGATTGTAACACTTTTTATATTTAATTTTCTAACTGAATTTTTTTTAAGTCATGTACTTAATTGAAAATTGTGTCTAGATATGCAAAATATCAGGGCCAAAACATTTCTGTCCTCTCTTGCCACTATTATATGCCATGGCAATAAAGGTCTACAAAGCACACTTTAGAGATACGTCACTCTATAGTCGGTGCATGACAAGGATAAACTAATTCACACAGCTTTGCATTTTAGAGATATTACAATTAGCTTTCCTACTGAAATCTGGAAATGAAAATTCATAGCCCTTCATCTATGTTAGTTCTAATTATGATTAAGCTAATTGACAGCCTGTGATTCTAATCTCCTCATTTAGATTTGCATCAAGACCGCTGGAATGGAGAAGCCTGACTCTTGATATGTTAGATTAAAATGAACATAGTAGAACATAGACTAGGTCCCACAGCTGGCTCATTTAGCTCAGTTTGCTCAGCACCTACCTCTGAGGAGTTATACCTTGCTTCTGAAAGTGCTCAGCTGCGTTCACAAGATAGTTCCTAAGTGTGGTTGCATTTAGCAACTATCTTCAGCAGCTGCCAAGCCATTTTGAATTTCAAACAAGTTTGAATGTGTTTGGAGGGCTAATAGTGGAACAAGTCATGGGACTTTAACTAATTCCTCCACCCTGGAGAGAGACGTGGTCCCATGCAGTTTCCTGTGAGTTCTGTGTTAGACCTTTTTGTTCCTACTGAAATCTATCCGTTTAACATTGTGGCTATTCCCCATAAGATGGGAGTGACACCTCACTCCTCTGGCTCAGAAATGTCAAAGTCACATAGATGGTTTCTGGAAATGTAAAATGGCAACAGTTTACATCGGCCTCTGGTTGACACACGCAGCTTTATTGTGGAAGCCGAGCGCCATTTCCTTGAACTGTATCCAAAAAGTCTCCAAGGTTCAATGCACAAGTTTTCTTTTGTGCAGCAGAATTCTTATTAGCTGCACAGTCCGTTTTCTCTCTCCCATATTTCTATCTTTACTTTCGACCTTTGTGGCCTTTCATTTGAGCAAATATATGATTTCGTGTTCTCTCTCTGCTGGGTTATGTCAGAGCTTTTTGTTGCATTCAGAAAATCTTGTAAACATTTTTACATAATGAAGTCTGATGGGCTTTATAACAAATGCCATAAAACCATGATTTTGTTACAAGTGATTTATTTTTCTACTTACAAAACCTTTTTATGCAATACCACTAGAATAAGTACTATTGCAAATTAAAGGCTTTATGCTTTCCTCAACCCTCAACTTCTCAGACTCTCACACGTGTGATGACTCTAAGTGCTTTCAGTGTGAGCCTCCGTTTACCATTTGATGCTGTCTCCGTAATGATGATGGTAAATGGTACGAAAACACGGGTGGCCAGAGGCATTTTAGGTGCGATTCAAATAGTGCTTGTACACTCTTTAAAAACTATTATTTTTCAGGTGACTTTTTTTTTTTTACTACTCTGACCACTTCTGTGTATCAGAATCCTACTTAGGCATTTATATGTTTATTTTTGTTTTGGCTAGGCTAAGAGACGGTGGGGATGTGCTGACGGACTGCATGAAAGTTATGATGACCCTTTTTGTGTGAATGGTCTTTCCTCTTTATTTGTTGACCTCCTCATCCTGGCCTTTTTGCATCTTTGGGTTTGCACACTGATCCTGTACTTTTGTCGGTCTTGTTCTTCAGAGGTGTTATTGTACAAAAGCATGTTTCTGGTTTTAACAAATTGATGTAAAGTTTCCCATGAGAAGCACACTCGCAGGGGTCCAATCATCAGTGTCCTGTATTTTTCTAATGTAAAAAAAAAGATGATATCTCATTAAAGAGTTTGTTAATATATGTATATGTGTGAAAAGATGGATATGATATAGAATAATGTGTTTACTGCCCAATCATAGTTGACAAACTTTTCAGTGTTGTGTGCAAGAGACTGTGTAATCGTGATTTGTGAGGCTGAATTAACACAGAAAGTCGAACCTACTGTTGGAACCGTGCCTCAGACACTCACAAATGGAGTCATTCACACAGAACTAAAAAGAGAAAAACAAATAATGTTTTTTGTTCCTACTATATCCAGTTGGAATGACTTTGACGAGGTTCACTGTGCATTGCTCCACAGGTGGCCCATTCACTTTTATGTGCAATCGTTTGTTGCAATCCATATAATGATGGGGAAGAATATTAACAAGCAAAAGAAGAAAAAAAAGCAGACTCTCTATGTGCCACAGTACTCTGAAAGGTAAAATGTATTATGAAGTAAATAAAATTTGCAAAATTAAAAGGAAGTTCTTGTCTGGAGGAGAGCTTATTTGTTGTGCATCCGCAATAGCATGAAGGTTGCAAGTAAAGCCATCAACAGGTGTAATCACAACATCCTGATTTATTTATCAATATAGAATGCATTTTTTATGTACATTTACTTTTGGGGAATAGAATCAGCAAAGATCTGATAAACCTCATGACGGACAAAATGGAAAAAAAGGAATATGCGACCTCAGTTGAGATCAGAGATGAAGACATTGAGAGTTTCTGGATGGATGGAGGAGGAGGCACAGGTCGTCATGGTAACCAATCACCATCCGCTCCATTGAGTACTTTTCCAAGATTTTCTTTGTTTCTGAGGCTGTTGAGCAGCAGCTCCAACGTCCTGAGAACGGGCTGCATCCTGCCGCTGCCCAGCACATCCACGCTGCTGTGCCTCTTCCCGAAGCGCCCGATGGGTCTCACCCCGCGTCCCACGTACCAGAACGGGTCTATCTCTGGGCCTAGGCATCACACAGAGGCAGATGGGTCAGTGTTAACACAAGCAAAGCATTGAGACTATGTTTAAAACACAATCCTGGTAGCAGCTGGCACCTATTTGAAAGCTACAGAAGAGGATGATGGTTTTATGTGGACCGGAACATTTGAAGTCATTAAAAGAGGAAGGTTTTTGGGTGTTTTTTTTTTTTTTGGTATTGAAAATTTTTTGGAAGCTGGTTGTCTGCATTCAGTGGGCACTGTCCAGTATAGTGTGCAACCCTGTACTTGTGTATCACATAATATTGTGACATTTTCTTTTTACAATTCAGCCTATTTCACTGGTCTATGACCATAGATACAGTTTAGTTTAAAATGTCAGGTGAGTTGACAGTTTTAAGATGTAGATATTATCACAAACCCCACACAAAAATGTTGCTTCTGGTGTTGAGAAAAGTACAATCAAATTATCACCTTAAACCAAAATAGCTGCTTCACAGTGTGTTACCCACGTTTCGATCCGCACCGTGTCTGAGGATTTCTTAACCATCACCAGGCTATAGTGGGAATATTTACACGTTTGGATTTTAACAGATTCTTTAGACATCCCCACCTACTTTTTGAATGCATATTTTTAAGGCGCGTAACTTCAAGTCTTTACAATTATTTCTATACAATTAGTAATAACAAAGACGCATTTCCAAGTCCCCATTACAAAAAAAACGGGGAAAAAAAGACTTGTCCTACTTTTACCATGCACCATGTGTCTCTTTTTTGTTAATGTTTTAAGTATATCAGCCTCGTGATTCCTCCACGAGAGCCTAAGGTAAGTGGAATGGCATCGCGTGTGCGTAACGGCGCCGTGAGGGCTCCTACTTCTGTTGTCCACGTTGTGAACGATGTGGAAGTCGTGCTCCACCGTGGTGCTGTGCGCGCGGCTGAGGCTGCTGGACAGCAGCAGGACCAGCGCCAGGGCTGCGGGCAGCCAGCGGCTGGTCAGGACGCAGTGCCGGACATCAGCCGCTTTCCCGGGCAGCATGCTGGGGACTCAAGGCACTAACGAGGACCTGTAGGGATGCTGCGTGGAAACACAACAGTGGCATGGTGAGAACAACCATTTTTTACTGCAAAATTACACCTTTTTTCTGAAAGCTGCAAGGTGGGAAATAATTTTTCAGAAAACATACTAAGAATAAGAATTTTCTGTTCTAGATTTGTTTACATAAAAAAATCACACAATTAAGACCACACACAAATGTGCATACGTACAAATATCTTAATGGTGCTATAATAGATTGTAATTGTTTAATCTGTAATGAATACAGTCTGAAGCTGGGACAGCACAAGTTATACTAATCCATCTGTATCTAAACATCCTGCATTAATGACTCATAACTTGGTATGATCATCCGATAGAGAAAAATGAACTTACCCTGAACTTTGGTAAAGGGTTGAGGTCAGTTGGTGGAGGTTTGCAGTTGTTATCCAAAAACGGATGAGCCTGGGCTTATATAGCACACCCCTGCCACTCATGAGGTTGTTGGATGATGAATCAAAGACGTCACTCACTCACTCACAGCAGTTCCAAACCACAGAATGCATCCCCCCTCCTCCTCCTCGTCCTCCTCCCACCCGCTCAAACCCATCGTCCATTCGAGAACGGTCTGGGTTTGTAGCCCTCGTGGTGTCCGTCACGCAGCAGAGCAGTCCATCAGGAGTTCAATGACATGCAGACAACTCTAAATTAGTGAGCCCGGGGGAGACCCACCTGCTCAGGAAGGTCTGTCAGACAGTGACCCGGAACTGGGGTGGGCGTTTTTGATGAGTCTTTCATCAATCAGCTTGATTGCAAAGTACAAAGCAGGACACAAGCAGCTGTCTCCTCCCAGTGAGCCACAAGCCGGCAGAACTTTTCAGGTAATGCTATCGTTAAAATGACCGTCGATGGTAATAAGGTGAACCACAAGATCGTGGCTTTGAATCTAGAAAGTACCCCTCAAACTATCGGAGAAAAGTCAGAGTCTGAGTGATGCCAGGGGGACATGTTTGGGTGAATGAAAGGGAGGCATTTAATGTATTCAGATGTAATGTCATCATGAACACCAGATATTCTAATAGGTATAGAAAAATCAAGACTTAATGCTTGGTTTTAAATTCTCAGTGTTGGTTCTTAAATTTGAACCCAGGCGTTTTGTAGATGGGACTGTTTCACTATTTCGTCCAATTTTCAAGACAAATTGCTTTGATTTCAAAGCATAGTCAGTCTAACAACATGAGTCATAGACAGTACAGATGCAAGCATGAACGTGCTCTATGTTTCAAAACTTACATCTAAAAACTGGTGATGTCAACTTCCAAAACTCAACATTGCCTGCTTAGGTCAGTGTCCCTCTGCTATGCCTTTTGCAAAATGTGCGATCCAGAAAGAGTAAGCTTCACCCTGATCATATTTCTTCAAATATCTGGATAGCACGTTGTGTAAAAATCCATGTGTTTGCACACAGTTCCATCCGAGGTCAGTAGTTTGCTGCTCCTTTGCAGAACACATTTTGTTCTGAGGTCAGCCTTTGTGATGCAGAACTCCCTTCAATAAGCAGAAGACAACTACCTGAGGATGTGCAATCATAGGACTCTGGGAATAATAAAGATAATCGATTTATGGCAAGGATAACTGATTTGAAAACAAAGGTCATGATTGCTTTATTCGTTTTCATAAGTTTGCCTCTATACACAAATCTGGAAGAATTCATATGAAATGGCCCTGTGGGCGATACTTGGCAATATATTTTAAAGACAAATAAATCTAAAAAAATAAATAACCTTATTACGATTATTGAGCAAAAATCTTTTATTCCTAAAAGAACAACGAAGTGGCCTTTCTGTGAGGCTTACACTTCCTAATGTGAGCCAATCAGCCCACTGAGGAAAGCAGTATTGATTGAGAAAACCTTTCTTGCAGGATGATTAATAACCTGACCCGGCTAAGCTGTGCAGTCTAAATCATTACCCTTTCGTGCTACAGTATATTTTGTTAACAGCCTTAAAAGTCATGACTCCCAGAGTGTGTGGGCTGGGATGTTCATGAGCCATGCTTTGAGGTTCAGACTCTTTCTTAAAAAAGCGAAAAGTGGAAAGTGGGTGGTTGACGGGGAAATTTGACTATGTAAGAATAGACTTCCTGTTAACTGCTGATTAAGCAAAAACCTGTCTACCGATTCAGTTTTCCTCATTCTTCAAAGATTGGTTTAAACCATCAAAATGTTTAGAGTACAGCAACCTCAAAGCATCATCACAAACCTGCTGATAACACAGCTTCAGCACCAGCATTTATTGGATGTGGTTCATCACAGAGCGTACTGTTATCAGCGGCCCAGTGGCCTAATGGATAAGGCATCAGCCTCCGGAGCTGGGGATTGTGGGTTCAAGTCCCACCTGGGTCGTTCGTGTAATTATTGTTGATCATCTTATAGTAGCTTAACCAAATATCATGTAAAGGCAACTATGGTACCTACGGACTATATAAGCAGTAAATAATGGTGCATTTCATAAGCCATAAGCGTTTATGTATAGCTATATTGATATGAAATGTATGAATTCTTTAATTCTGTTATTACTGACATTTTAACGTTAATTACAATAACTTGGCTAGATTGGGTTAAGATGATCCAATTGGCTCATCCCCCAACGTTGGCCAAACTGGTAACAAAAAATATGAATTTATCAGTGATGTTCCGGTAACGTGCATTTTCTGGAACCAGGATACTTTGCTGACTCTTTGTGGTCAAAAATGTGCACGCACGCTATGCATGCATGCACTATTACAAATTAGAACTATGGTTTCAATTACAACCCATAAATCAAAGCTTTAACACCTCTGCAGATCACAATGCAAAGCAAACACGGCTCTGCAGTCGTATGATGGAATAACCTCCAGCCCATCTCCCATGAAGCCGAAAACAGGAACCGCTCATGAATATTACACCGGCCACTTCAGAGCGCATGCGCGGTAGGAAGTGAAAGCGAGCGCAACAACAAAGTCAGTTCTTCTTGGAGTATGAAACTACACTCTCCAACCTCGGTGACAAGACGGTATGTCTGACTAATACTAACTGTACAGCCGAAATTTAACACAAAATCTACTCGGAACAGGTGCTTCGTTAAGAAACAAAAGGAAAAGAGCGCGATATCTGGCTTGTACTCGACTTCTTTTTTTTTTTTAAAGTGGCACTATATACTTGACGCACTTGCTTCCTGTTGACACCGTCGCCGTTTGATGCCCGACGAATAAGTACGCTGGAAGAAATGTGAGAGGGGAGGATTCATCCGCTCGGGTCGCTCAATAAGCTGGAGCAGGAGGGGAAGGAGCCACCGGACTCCCGTGTGTCTGTGCTTGTTTACATGAGTCTGTCGGCGGGATGTCGCTGAGCTCGGGCGGTTGGACTCACTCCCCGGGCCACACGCCGGACCAGTCCGCCGCCCTGCCCGGCCAGTATGAGGCCCCACCGTCGCAAGTGGGCAGCCAAACCGTCCTCATGTCGGTTCGGGTGTCCGTGTGCCACTCTGGGATACGGCCGCTGTGTCTTCCGGGAGCAGGTGATGAGTCACTCCGCCTGCAGCTCGGCATGGACCCGGGGAAATCCGGGGAATTCCGCCTGTCTCTCCAGAGCAGCGGCGGGGCCGGCCGGAGCGTGGTGAGTTCACGGCGCCTCGGCTTTGTTCTGCTGTCCGCGCGTGGAAATCCCCCCCCCCCCCCCCCCCCCCGCCAAGACCCAAAAGGTCACGTGTACTAGCAAAGGGCTCTGAACTTTTAAGTTTAAAAGTGAAAACTTTAGTTTGCACGAAACAAAAGTAAAGTCAAAGCTAGAGTGACCAGCCGGGCTTTTTGTACTGTGCGATTTTTTAATGGGTCTTCCTCTTTAGGGAGTTCCCCCATTTGTGCATGACTGTGATCCAAGACATCATCAGATTTCCATTCAAGTCCTTAAAATACACCAAGATAACACTGATTAAACAAATAGTATTAAACAGGATGCTTTTGATCCAACAATTCATACCAGTGTAGCTGTCCACTAAACATGGGGGTAAATGATCTGTGCTCTTGCTAAATATCTTGGTCCTCATGGGGCAGATGTCAATTTTTAAAGAATTCATTGACATATTTTGGCAATATTATTTTCCTGAAATGGTCGTAGGCCCTCTTGAGTATAACGCAACAAAAGAGCAGCCACCATATTTTACAGTGAGGACATTATTAGTGCCGGCTTTCCATGTTCTCCTTTCTTCAAACATTGCACTTCTCAGTCTTTCATAGAATATTTTCCCAAACCTGCCTTCCTTTTTAAAAAATGTTTTTGTCCCTGTGATCTTTGCCAAACTACCAGTGGGGAAACTGTTGTTTTTGGAAAGCAGTCAAATTCTTTTTGCAGCGATGCGACGAGTGATGCTGAAATTAAAGAGGAGTTTAGTAGCTTACAAATTACCCGTGACAAACTTTTTTGTTATATTTAGCTGAAACATCATGTCATGTTTATTTATAAAACTATTATGCCGGAAGTCTACATACAGATTAAGCAACAGGGTTTGCATGCTGTTTTCTCAGAACATGTCACACTACTGCCTCTGACTTCATTTCCTTTCCTTATTCGTTACAAAGAGCAACCTCTCTCATTCTTCTTCCTTTTTCAGACTATCGCCGAGTATGATTTGAGGGCCGTAAACTATGAAGTGAAGTCGCCAAAGTGCCACGAGCTGATATTAGCTGCACCCCCGCAAGACCGCATCAGCTTCAACTTTCGCTGCGAGCAGGAGGCTCGGGAGTGGGCCACCGTGATGATGTCATCACTGCGTGAAGCACACAGAGGTCAGCCACCCCCCCTTTTTTTGTTAATTACAAACACAGAAAAGGGAGTTTTGCATCCCTCGCAACAATGTGACTCATCACTTGCATGAAACTATGGTAAAACACACATTCAGGCTCCCTCTTGTTATCTGTGGTCACTTATCACATGTAGTCACATCTCCACATGTACCGTGTGTACTGGAAAGAAATCAACTGCATTGGTGCTTTGTGAATATTTTAAAAGCTAAGTGAGTTCTTTATCTGTATATCAGTTAAAGACATGCACGCAATTTGGAGTGGGTTATTCCAAACATCTTGGAATGATGGATTTAAGCCTTTTCAAGGAGTCTGAGCTGTTCCACAACAAAATATCCTTATTATGTTTGACGCAAACCAAAGAAATCTGGACATGACATCAGTGGAGATGAAGGTCTTTGTAGAAATGAATCCCGTGGCAGCAGAAAGTAGAGCTGATAAATGAGGTCAGTAGTCTGAGCTCTCTTAGCTTGCAAGCTGCCTGTGGATGGTCAAAATAAATCAAAAGCTTTTTTTTTTTTTAAAGCTCTTTTCTTGGTTGAGAAATGAGAATTTTCTGAATTGAGAGGACGACCGCACTCACAGGCAGCCGTTTGTGTCCTGCTCTGACACTTGGGGCCATTTCCCTCGGTTTGGAAGGTTTCCAACCCCCCAGAAAACACAAGCCTTCTGTTTCTTCTATGAAACAATCCTCACGTGCACTCTGAGATACTGAAATACTCAGCGAAAAACCTCTGGTTTACACTGACACTGATTAGAAAGTTACTTCTTTAGTACACAAAGCTTGAATAAAAAATGTAGAATTTGAGCTTAAAAATGGATTTGTTGGATGACGCTCTGGGATTGTTCTGACTTGAATTTTTTCTCTTCCTCCGCAGTGTCAGCTGCCCCTCAGGAAAATGGTCCCCAGCTCCTCCCGGCCGGCGTCCCTCTCCAGAGCCCCATGCTGTTGGGGCAGACAGGTGCGCCATGACGAGATGTGCCAGGTCTGAGCCCTCCTGGAGGCCTTCCAGGGCTGCTTTTCACTGTGCATGTCTCGTGTGCAGAGGAGGCCTGCATGGAGCTGACCAGAGCCATAGAGGCGGGCGACATGCAGTCCGCCTCGGCCTTTGCCGCCTCTCTGGCCCGCCGACACGTGGCGCTGCAGATCCGGCCCTCCAGCAAAGACCCCGAAGACACTGAAATCAAGTAGGGCGGAGACAGTGAACACATCGGGTGGGGGCACTGATAGTGATTGGTGCTGAACGGGCGTGTGTTTTGGATATTTTCCTTAGTCTGGCTGTTGTGGTGGAGGATGCTTCCTCGTCCTGCTGCGTCACCGTGAAGGTGTTCCCTCACATGACTACTGCATCCCTGAAACAGCAGGTGGATTTGAATGCGTCACACCTGTCCTCAACACATTGCGTTTGTCTTTCTTCCCCACTGGTGCTCACCTTTTTTTCTTTTTTTCTGCTTGCTCTCGTGTCTCTCCAGCTGTTTCTGGAATACGGCTTCCACCCGCGGGTTCAGCGCTGGGTCATCGGGCAGTGCTTGTGCTCGGACCAGCGCTCCCTGGCCTCCTACGGTGTCCGGCAGGACGGGGACACGGCCTTCCTGTACCTGCTGTCTGCCCGCCACGCTCGCTTGACCCATCAGGCCTTGCAGCGGGATCAGGAGAGCGCCCTCCTCCTCAGTCCCCTGTCCCTCCAGAACCCCCCGCTCCCGTCGGCATCCACAAACGGCGCCGCAACTCAGGACCGGAGGCCCTACACCACGCTTCCCCCAAGACTCCACAGCAGCAGCAGCAATGGTGAATACACCCCCGAAGCGTCAGTCGGAATGATGAGAGCAAATTCAGGGTGTTTGGTTTAAAAAATCAGTGCCCTTTAACTCAATTTAATTCTAAACATTATCGGAAAATACAAAGTGGTGTGTTATTAGAAGATATTTGTGGTTGATATAGACGCAAAAACTATTGTATGAATTCATACACCTATCGTTTTGTATTAAAATCAAATAATGAATAAAAATTAATGTCCCTGTTACACCTTGTGTCTCACATGACCTGATATCCGCAGACCTGGTAGATTTATATTGAACATGCAAGTACTTTCTTAATAGTTACTTTGTTGACCATCATTTTGCATGAAATTATGCTCTGCAAGGGTGTGTTTTTTTCTTTAATGAATACATTTAAAAAGAGTGGGGAAAATAGTTTTGAAAAAGGCCACTGGAAAAGAAACCTCTCGTTTCTTCTCTCCCGCAGGCGGCTCAGACCAACAGAAGTTCAGTGAGCTCAGAGATCTGATCAACCTGGAAATGCCTCAGCTCAACGACGCACTGAGCCCGAACACGGCCTCCGTCCAGGTAATGTTCAGTTCCTTACTACAGCACTGGTGGAAAGATGTCCAACTTGTTTGGAATCGCTGTGTGGAAGTTGAACTGGAAAAGAAAATAATTCAATTCTTATGGGGTGGGGCAATGTAAAGCTTTCCATCTTTTCCAGAGTGGTGCTCATCCCTTTCATACGCTCATTGAAAAGCTACAGTTTGCCTCCACAACGTGCCGATGACATGGACTGGGAAGGGGTGAGGTCAGCAGCATGGAAAGACTGACTGTGGATAACCTGCCTTTCAGGGTTGGTCGTGTCCCTCTTGCACCTACATCAACAAGCCCACGCGGCCAGGCTGCGAGATCTGCAGCACCAACCGCCCCGAGAGCTACGTCATCCCGGGCGGATACCAGCCCGATGCACTGGAGCTCAGACGGATCCAGCAGGAGAAGGAGGCCATAAGGCAGTACCAGCAGGTATGAAGAGCCCACTCACGAGTTTGCATACGTGTGCCGAAGCCTTTCCTTTAATCCCATCCCCGGGTTAACATAGGACTGATGGAGGAAAGAATAGGTCCCGTAATTGCTTACATCTCCCAAAAAAACCGAGGGAACCCAAATTCGTTTGTTTAAAAATGGGAGGGCAGACCAGGCGGATTTGGTCGCTGAATCTGAAACGTTCAGGCTCTCTCAGGTTGACTCTCTTCTCTTCTGTCTCTGTTTTTTTGAAGGAGAAAGGGAGAAGAGAGGCGCTGAGGAGTGCTGGGCCTCAAAGCAACCCACTGCTGTTTAACCTGGACTACTGAGCACACACACTGACACAGGGACGCACACACTCCTCCCAAATACCAGACGCCCAGCGTTAGAGCACACAGCTAATCATCCTACACTAACCCGTTTTTACGGTCGAATGCACAGTTTTCTGTCATCGCCCTCCTCGATTTGAATGTTTAGTCTGTTTTTTTTGGGGGGGGGGGGGGCGTCCATGCACGTCCGTACAGACAGACGAGCTGCGTTCCAGCAGAACGTGACCCTTTTTTTTTGTTAAAACATGCAAATATTTTGTGTGCTGGAAAAGTTTAGCCGACGGAGCTGGACCGGACAAAAGTGTTTGGAACAGATCAGACAGGTCCGATTTGTTCGTCACACGTTGAGCCAGATATGAGAGCGTTCTGCTCAGTAGTCAGCCTGTAGTGGGTCAGGCCCCCGAAAAAGACTTTTCTCTATTCTCACCATCCAGATCACAACCAGCACCACTGGTGAAGCTGATCAGGTTTTTAATGAGATCCTTGCTGCAGGAACCCGTTTCAAAACTGAATGTACTGGTAATTTAGTTTGCACTGTAATTGTACAAACCGAAGAAAATAAAAAAAGTTTTCACTTTGCGCGCGTCTTTGACTGAATGAGTCAGTGGGGGTGTGTGGGGTTAGTGGGTGGGGGTGTGGTACCCCAGCTGTTCTAACTCTGCTCCACGCGGCCCGGCGCGGCGCTTTAGGCCAGGGAGGAGGAGCGGCGGGAGAACTTTGCCCGGCTGGTGAGGACGGACGGGCAGGACCTGGTGCCCAACCCGGAGGCGGTGGAGTGCCGGATCTGCTACGTGGAGCTGCCGCCGGGGGAGGGCGTCCTGCTCAGGGAGTGCCTGCACTGCTTCTGCAGGTGAGGCCTGAGATGGAGGGGGGTTTTAAAACCGCCCTGCCTGCGTTTTCCCGCTTCCCACTCTCTGCCTGTGCCACAGGGAGTGCCTGCGCTCGGTGGTCATGCTGAGCGAGGAGCCCGAGGTGGCCTGCCCCTACCGAGATGATGCCTACTCCTGCGCCGGGGCCCTGCAGGAGAGGGAGATCAGAGCTGTGAGCCACCCCCACGCCCCCCTCCCCTACGCAGGTGTCTGTGCGCTGGCTCGCCTCAAACCTTTCTAACCGCCCCCGCTTTCAGCTGGTGCCTCCGGAGGAGTACGAGCGCTGGCTGCAGAGAGGCCTGTCGGTGGCCGAGTCCCGCTGCGAGGGCAGCTACCACTGCGCCACCCCCGACTGCCCGGGCTGGTGCGTGTACGAGGACACGGTCAACGTCTTCCACTGCCCCATCTGCAGGAAACACAACTGCCTCATCTGCAAGGTCTGCAACAGGCCCCACTCCCTCTCTTTCAGATCCTTTGATCTGGCGGTCTGTTGCGCGCTATCTCTTAAAATATATTATGTGCTGGCTCTAATTACGCACACCGTTAGACCGGGATGTGGGTTGTGCTTTAAATAATCGGACGGCTCTTCTTAAGAAAAGCTATTAAAGGCCGGCGCTATAAAAAGACCAAAGCACTTCAGAGCTTTAAGAGGGAACCTTTGGCATCTTCTGTCCCCGTTAGCATTTTCTTCTCTTTGCAGTCTATCCACGAGGGAATGAACTGTAAGCAATACCAGGACGACCTGGCGGCCCGGGCCATAAACGACTCGGCTGCCAGGAGGACCACTCACCTGCTCAAGGTGAGCCTCCAGACTGCTTTATCGAAGAAGGGAAATCGTCTTTTTGACCGTATCCGCCTGTCTTACACTCTCTCCCTGCCCTCATCATCCTTGCCGCGCACAGACTCTGGTGCAGTCGGGAGAGGCCATGCACTGTCCTCAGTGTGGCATTATCGTTCAGAAGAGGGACGGCTGCGACTGGCTGCGCTGCACCGTCTGCCACACCGAGATCTGCTGGGTGACCAGAGGGCCTCGCTGGGGGCCCCGGGTAAGAAACCCGTCCGGCTGAGCCTTCCCATACCGCCCCTCGCATCCCCCTTTGGGTGTTGCGGCTCAATCGTTTAGTTATTTTTCTCCCAAAAATCTCAACGAGGCTTTAAACAAAGGAATCGTCTCCGGTGTGCTTCTTTTAAAGGGCCCTGGGGACACGAGCGGAGGGTGTCGGTGTAACGTCAACAATCAGAAGTGTCATCCGAAATGCCAAAACTGCCACTGAGCGCTGCCAAAGGGTCAAATCACCAGAGGAAGTCTGGGACTGAACTTGAATTCAAACTACTCTCACTAAGCAGGGAAAGCAAGAGCTGACACTTGTTACTTCCACATATTTAAGTCTACTAGCACAAGAGTTTAAACAAAAAGCCACGGTCACTGCATGTTTCCTTCTCTTAGACATCAGGTTTGTGTGTTAGCGTTTCAACATTTTGTCCACATTTAACTGACTGACAATAGCGATGGTTAGTGGACTAACTATCAATTCGTGTGGTGCCTTTTTCTTTTCAAATGCTAGCGCTCGACAGGGTGCGTTAAAATACCTAGGTGAACTGTATCAAACTGAAGTGACCTTATTCTCGTGCACGAGCGGTGTAGCAGGGTGTGACTGAATACGTTTTAACCAGAAAATGTGACAAAGTTCTTGTTCTTTTTTTGAAATGCAATTTTCGACTGCATAGAAATGGAGCGAGCAGGTGTGCGGAGGTTTGCATAGCAGCATGTTTGTGTGTGTGTGTGTGTCTTTGCGTGTGTATGTGTGTGAGAGAGAGAGTGCCCCGACTTGACAGAGGGTTTAAAAGTGTGTTTTTGTGTCTGATCTGTGGTTAAACACTTGAGGGGAGGCACATCCTCTGCGTTTTCATCCACACCGCCGCCGACTTCTCGGCAGGACTTGTTCTCAGAACCTCGACAGAAATGAACGGAGATTCACAGGAAGAGAAGGCACACGAAAACAAATGTAGTCAATAAGCTTCCGTTCTCTGTAAGGAAGGGGCAGTGGTGTCTGCTGAGGTGTTGGGAGCTTTTACTGACGCGCGTGGAGGCCGGGTCCACCCACAGGAGTCCAGCTCCACTACACTACTGCACAGAGCTGAAATACCCACTGTTACCTGTATTTAAATGTCAGCGCCGATGCCTCTTTGTGCCTTAATTATGAAGAAATAAATGCTGTCATAAGATGAACGTGCAGAGTTTCATTAATTCTATCAATCTGTCATCCACAGAAACAGATACTTTGGAATGTAATAAAACTTTTGCACGAACTAATAAGATTGAAGATTATGTAAAAACGTAATCCTGTTATGATCCTGATTCCATTTGCCCTCATCTCAGCTATGGAATGTTTTACGAGGACAACCTGCATCCTGGGAACGCGTGAAAATGACTGAAAGGTTCAAAATCTCCTCACAGGGGAGATTTTAGAGGCGTTCCCCTGACCTGTAAACTCTCCGGATACCAATCAGAGGCTGGGCTCTGAAGGCACCCGTGGGAAAGCACGCTTTTACAAAGCCTTTGACTACTTCTACTACTACTACTTCGGCCGGATGAGAAGAGTACACTCTGTATTTGCAGCGTCGGGGGCCTCTGGTGGCCCGGATCGATCGCTCCCTCTTGTTCTTACATCACCGAGGTCACTTGCGCTTTTCCACTTGAACCTGGGCGTCACGTGACGGCCGTGGCGACCCGCTAAGGGGGGGGGGGGGGGGAGTTGACACAGTCCCGGTTGACCCCATCGCTCCGTTGTGAGCACGTGTACTGGCCAGCTGTCAGAGCCACGTCCCCTTGAAAGGGGGCGGAGCCAAAACCGGCAAGCAGCTTCACCCAGAAACAAGTTCCCCCCCACCCCTCCCAGTCTGTTGCCTTTCTGCAGGATCTGGACCGGGGTGCGGGTGGAGGATCGCAGAGACATCGGATCACCAGAGTCTGACCTTCTATCTGGGCAGCAGCGGCCGGCAGAGAGGCAGGTGGACATCTTGGCGTTCTTGTTTTGTTTGTTTTGTTTTTGAGCTCCGTCGCTTCGTCGGTGTGCAGCCCCAGGGCACAGAAACCCGCTTAGCCTCCCAAGTAGTCAGTGGAGAAGTCACGTTGACCATAAAAAATGGAGGCGATCACACGTTTAAATCTCCATTTGTTTTGCATGTTTTGCACGTGATGTCGTATTTCCCTTAGAATGACGCCCTTCCAGCCGTTACGCACCCACTTTAGGAGGATTATTCACGATCTCTTGGATATGAAGTCGCATGCAGGAGCTCGCTTTCTGATTCTTGATGCATCGAAGCAGTTTCTGCATGTGGAGCAGGACCAAGTGTACACACTCATGCCATGTGTGCCTAATTTTAGCGCCCTGACAGGCTTCCGTGGCATTTGGATGGATGAGTTGTGTTGAATATTTGTGTGTTGCAAACCTTGCAGGTGACTTGTTTTGGAGAGCAAATCACAGGCGTTGTACTGTCAGCTCAGTTGTAGCTGGTTAGAAATACAGAGAGGATGGGATTTTTCTGAATGGACAATGCATCTCCCCCTGGGCCCATCTCCACATTTGTCGTGTTTCTGATTGTTTTCTGTTCTTATGTCTTCCTTTTAGCTTCTCCAATTCCTCCAGACTCAGACTCAACGCTCTTAACTCTCCCCCATTATGGCTGAGACTAAGGGGAAATTCGATTTCGCCATCGACCGCGGGGGCACCTTCACAGATGTGTTCGCCCGGCTGCCCGATGGCCGCGAGAGGGTCCTGAAACTGCTCTCCAGGGACCCTCAGAACTACAAAGACGCTCCTACGGAGGGGATCCGCAGAATCTTAGAGGAGGTAACATGAAGGGGTGGATCCACAGATCTGTATATGTGTTTCTGAAATACTCAAAATCCCCCCGTAGTTAACGGTGTATTACACTCGGAGTGTTTACGGCTTTGCAGCTTGTAACTGGAAAGCCACTACAAACACATTTGTGTTGATTCTTTGGCAGGAAACGGGGAAAGCGTTCCCCCGAGAGCAGCCCGTAGACACCTCCCTCATTGGCTGGATCAGAATGGGCACCACAGTGGCGACCAACGCGCTGCTGGAGAGAGAAGGAGAGCGGACGGCGCTCCTGGTCACGAAGGGATTCAAGGACCTGCTGCACATCGGCACGCAGGCCCGGCCCCGGCTGTTCGACCTGGTCTGTAGCACTCATTCTGCTTTGTGCACAACCACCGGAGCATTTCAGCAACTCAGCATCAGCGCCGTGTGGAGTTTATGAGCTGCACGGGGTTTAGTCATTCGTTTATGTTGACCGGTGTTAGGTCCTGGAGTTTGTCCCCAGACCGGTTTTACCATTAACTGTTAAAATGTGACCAGAACAGCAAAAGAGCAGGAAGTTCTCAGTTCCATGGACATAATGCTTTGACCCTTTACTACATTTGAAAGTGACACCATTGTTGACATTTTCTTTCTACTCTGCCCTCTGCTAGTTCCACTGAGTTCATTGGCTGGCAAATGCGTTGCTAGTACAGACACTGTGATGTTTGATGATGCTTATGTGTGGTTGATAGGAGGTCGCCATGCCGGATGTGCTGTACGAGGAGGTGATAGAGGTGGACGAACGAGTCGTCCTTAAGCAAGAGGACTGCGAGCTGCCCGCGAAACATCCCAAACATTTGGTGAAAGGTGTGAAACACGGCTTAGCCTTCTGCTTTAAAAAGTCCAATAGCCCCTCAATTTATCAACCCCCTTGTCTGTATTTATACTCAACAGTTGAAATAAGTGTAAAAAATCAATTGTGTAAATACATTAGAATTCTAAGTACATTAAGGATTTTGACCAGTTTGAAACAATAGTGGTGACTATTTGTATATTTGATCGTTTTTACTGATCTTTGCCTTTAAAGATCTGTAATTTTAAATAGACGAGAACTGAAGTAACTCTTTTTTTTTGCCAGATCCTCCTAAAGGGTGGGATGCTATGAAATAAGTCAGGACTTGTAAATAAGCCTATTTTTGAGAAATGTGGCTAATGTTTGTGTCAAGTATTTATTTGTCTACTTTGTTGGCCCGCACTGATCCATTTTCAAGTCTTGAATGATCTTTGTTCCATTTTTCTTTCTGGACGATAATATAATATTTACAGACACAATTCACAGCACATACACTTCAAAAGTGCTCTTTCCATCATCTTCTGACCACATTCTAAACTGTCTAAACACATTATCCTTCAGCTTCTTGCACAATAAGCAGCTCCGGATCGGAATGTGTCATGAATGTTCAGCGTAGTTTGAATTATTCCTCATAATCCCTGTTTGCTTTTCTTAGGCCGGACTCTGGAATCTTTGGAGGTGTGGAAGGGCCTTGACCTGGAGCAAGTGGAAAAAGACCTAAGAGGAGTTTTGTCCCGCGGTATCACCAGTCTGGCAGTCCTCCTGCTGCACTCCTACACGTCAGTACAGAGACCAACGTTTCTAACTTAGTTAAGGCCCCAGTCTTGTCTTTTTTCCCCCCCAGTGTCTTACTTACTTTCTAACTTACTATTAGCCTGTAATTCGAAACACAGTTATAAGATCCCCACTCCCACTGTCTCTCTATCTCTGTGGGAGTAGCACAGCCTGTGTCAGTGGTGTCCAATGGCCTGCTCCCATTGTCTTTCTAACCAATGAGATTTAGTGGGTGGAAGTTCATGTTGTCTTTAGTGTTTTTCTTTCTTTATTTTTTCTAATCCTCCTCCTTGAACTCAGCAATACACTCTTTTGTTCACTGAACCCCTCCCTCACTTGACTTGAAATGTACAGACTGTTCTAGTTTACTGTAATCCGAAAACAGCCAAAGAGCTGTAAATAAATGCATCCTGCGAGGCGGAGAGCAGTGATTGGCTCCGGGGCTCAGCGCCGTCTTTTCCTCTGTGGCAGGTGGTCCGTGCACGAGGAGGCGGTGGGCTCCCTGGCGCGGCGTCTGGGCTTCTCCCAGGTGTCTCTGTCCAGCGAGGTCATGCCCATGGTGCGGGCGGTCCCGCGCGGCTACACCGTCTGCGCCGACGCCTACCTCACCCCCAAAATCCATCAGTACCTGAAAGGATTCACCTCCGGGTTCCAGGGGGCCCTGAAAGTGCGTTGGTGTATGTGTGCGTACGTCCCCCCTCCGATCCGGCGTTTGTTTAGTCCTGTAGGGCAGAGGAGTGATTTTCCGTTCATAAAAAAAAAAAAGAAAGAAAAGAAACGTGCATTGATTTGGAAACTTTAAACCAAAGTTTCTGTCTGCCTTTCAAAGGCTTAAACCTTTTTCATCCGAATATAAACCGAAGCCAGCTCAGTGTCTCGTCTCCGTTTTTCCTCAGGATGTGGACGTCTTGTTCATGCAGTCAGACGGAGGTCTGACCCCCATGGAGCAGTTCTGCGGTTCCCGGGCCGTGCTGTCCGGCCCAGCGGGCGGCGTGGTGGGATACGCCATCACCTCCTACAGCCAGACGGAGAAGAAGCCCGTAATTGGCTTTGACATGGGCGGTGAGTGTGTTTGTGTGTGTGTGTGTGTGTGTGTGTGTGTGTGTGTGTGTGTGTGAGAGGGGTGGGGTGACAAAGCCGTTAACTCTTCGAGCCGGGCAGTTTCCTGATATTGTTTCCGTTTCGTTGTTGTTTCGTTATTCCTCTCCAGCACTTCTCTGATTCGTTATGCGAGGCGTTACAAAGGGCCTCGGTTTAATCGAGCTTTTGACCAAACGTCTAAAAAAAAATTCAAATCAGACTGTGTTTTTTCGACCCCATCCAGCTCGCCCTGCTTCCGCCCCCCTAACCATCTGTCTTTTTGTCACCACGCTTCCCGACAGGAACCTCCACGGACGTGAGCCGATATGCGGGCCAGTATGAGCACGTGTTCGAGGCCACCACGGCCGGGGTCACGCTGCAGGCGCCCCAACTGGACATCAACACCGTGGCGGCGGGAGGAGGATCTCGACTGTTTTTCAGGCGAGTCTGTACCCGTTGGATTTCGTTCCATAGTTTCCTAGTTGGCTCTTAAACCGGCATCTTTAAACATTTACAGAAAAAGATTGTGTGTGTGACGTCATGAAATGTCAATAAATCACTCCCCTTCTTTGCGGTTTTTGTTTGGACGTATGAAATTAAATGAGAGTAAGCTCAAGGCTTCGTGCTGCACTTTAGTACTCTGCTGTGTGATTTATGCGCACGTCTTGAGTGGATCATTAACCATCAGCTGTCAAAGAATTACACATATCGAAATACATGGAAAACCTGTAGGTTGATAGGTGACCCAAGCTTTAAACGGTGAAGGATTAAAGCCTTCAGATGTCGCTGTTTGAACTCGGCTTCTCTCTCTGAACTCTCTCTGCATATTTGTCTTTTTGTTCTTCTTCTACCAGATCGGGGATGTTCGTTGTTGGACCAGAGTCGGCAGGTGCTCATCCAGGACCGGCCTGCTACAGAAAAGGTGACAGCCTTGTGCATCTATCTATCCACCTATCCATCCATCCATCCATCCATCCATCCATCCATCCATCCATCCATCCATCCATCCATCCATCCATCCATCCATCCATCCATCCATCCTTCTCTTAAATTAATCTGTATATTTCTGTCCCACTTTACCCATTCAATGAGAATTATGTTCCTGCAACCCAGAGCTGGGATGTTTTGCTATTCCAAGGTTTCTCATTTAATAATCAATTTAATTTACATTAATGTAAAAAAGAAAATACTGTATAAGAAACAGTGATACAGTTCTCAGTTTGATAGAGAAAGTAGTATATTGAAGCAGCATTAAAGGTGGCCTTCAGATGTGAAAGGGACGCATCATAAAGCTGCCTGTGGATCTTTGTGGAATTTCGCAGGTGGCCCCCTGACTGTGACCGATGCTAACCTGGCCCTGGGACGGCTCCTTCCCTCCTTCTTCCCGAAAATCTTCGGGCCGGCGGAGAACGAGCCCCTGTCCCTGGATGACACCATGAAGCATTTTCGGCAGCTGACCGGGGAGATCAACAGCTTCCTGTCTTCTAACCCATCCCAGGCATCTATCTTTACTGAAGCACGCTCAGAAATTCCAAAAGCCATACATGACATTAAAATGTCCTTTATAATAATCAAAATAATGAATATATAATATAATATTATAATTAATTAAAATAATTACTCCTTCCAATTCTTTCATGAAAAATAATGACTTTTCCCATTTGTTTCATTTTCCCATTTTTAAGGCAGGGCAAAACGGGGCCAACAACTCACAGAACAGCCAATCCAAGATGAGCGTGGAGGAGGTTGCTATGGGATTCATTCGCGTCGCCAATGAGGCCATGTGCCGGCCAATCAGAGCTCTGACACAGGTGCGACGGGCATTGAAATCCAGCATATATTGTCTTTAAAAATCATGCTTTGCACCAGTCAAACGCTTTTCTCCTCCGCAGGCCAAAGGTCACGACACCTCCCAGCATGTGCTGGCGTGTTTCGGGGGGGCGGGCGGCCAGCACGCCTGCGCCATCGCCCGAGCCCTGGGGATGAAGACCGTCTTCATACACAAGTATGTGTGCGCCTCAGAGGATGGGGGTGGGGGAGAGTGGACCGGGGGGCTCAGCGGTTTTGTGTCTGTGCGGCCTGCAGGTACAGCGGCGTCCTGTCGGCCTACGGCCTGGCCCTGGCGGACGTGGTGGAGGAGGTGCAGGAGCCCTGCTCGCTGCGCTACCAGCAGCAGTGCTTCGGCGCGCTGGACCGCAGCGTGGATCTGCTGTCCACACGCTGCCGCGACACGCTCCGCGCCCGGGGCTTCTCCAGGTCAGAGGCCGCCAAACACCACCCGGGGCCGGGGGGGGGGGGGGTTTAGCCCCATCCGTTTCCCGCTGTGTTAGTCCCCAGACGGTACAGACGGGTGTCTTACTGTTCCTGGTAATTACGCTGTTGACAGCTGATTCATCCATCCATAATCTGTGCCTGCTTATTCCAAGTACGGTGGCAAGGGGGTGGAGCCTATCGCAGCCCTCACTGGGCGAGAGACAGGGTCCATCCCAGGACCAGCAAATGAATTCCAATATTTAATTTTCTATTCTGGACATCTACATTAGATATGCTTTGTGGATTTTTTTCAGACACTGACAACCAAGATTTTAGTCCATTTAGAATATCCACAAATAAGTCTGATGATGTTGTATACATATGCGAACTGCTCTTCTTTGCTCAGTAATAATCTTTTTTAAAAAGTTAGTTCAGTCGATGTATACTTGGCCAGCTGACTGAATGGGCTTCTTCCCTCTTGTCTCCTACAGCGGTCAGATAACCACCGAGGTTTTCCTCCACCTGCGCTACGAAGGCACCGACTGCGCTCTCATGGTGGCTGCTGACGGTTACCCCGGCAACGCCCAGTCCTGTCGAGCGGGCGACTTCCGCAGTGCCTTCACCAAACGGTGGGCCGAGCTCCTCCATTATCTTTTTACCGAATGTGACGCTGTTTTACTCCGCTAAATAACGTCCCCTCTACTGTACGTCAGAGTGTGGAGGTTCCAGTTGATGTGAACTCCGTAAACGTTGGAGATGGAATTTCCTTAAATGACTTATGGTCCCTTGTGTCTCCGCTTACTAGTCCTGTTAACTCGGTTCTTCGTTTCCCTCTTCAGTTATCTGAAGGAGTTCGGTTTCACCATCCCAGACAGAGCCATTATGGTGGATGACATCAGAGTGAGGGGCTGTGGAAAATCTGGCATCAAGTCAGTTCATAAACCAAGAGTGGCCCACAAACAAGCCAAACCGGTCAAGGTGAGTAAGATGGATTCCCGGACGCAAATGTATGTTCAAGAGTTAAACTTAACTCGCAAATGTACGGAGTATTCCACGTTGTCAGACGCATCCCTTTGCCTTTCTCTGTAGATGACTAAGTGTTACTTTGAGGGGGGTTACCTGGACACCAGTGTGTATCTATGGGAGGAGCTGCCGTGTGGTCAGAGCGTCCAGGGACCGGCCATCATCATTGACAAAAACAGGCAGGCATTCTCAGCTTATTAGCATTGATAATATCAGGTCATTTCTCAGTATGTGCTTCTTGGCCTGTTAGAAAGGATGAGTCTGTGTCTTTCAGATCTTTAGCTCACATTCAAAAAGTTTTTCTTCTTCTTTTTTTTTCTTTCTTTAATGTGCATCCCAAGTTTATTTGCGTCAATTGTTGCGTCCTCTTCCCTCCGTCAGCACCATCCTGGTGGAGCCGTGCTGTGAGGCCCGTCTGACAGAAGGGGGCGACGTGTGCATGGCTGTGGGATCTGACCCTCATGTGGCGCTGGGCACTGAGCTCAACACCGTGCAGCTGTCCATCTTCTCCCACCGCTTCATGAGCATCGCAGGTATGCCGACACGGCGAAGAGAAGCGCGTCGCCTCTAGAAAACTTCACGTCCAGTGGCCCCAACCGAGCTCTCCGAGCCTGACCGGGACCTGGATGACCGGGAACCTCCACAGATGCGTTGCCAGTGTTTGCCCGTTTATTTTTGCTTTCGTCCGCCACAGAGCAGATGGGCAGAGTCCTCCAGAGAACGTCCATCTCCACAAACATCAAGGAGCGTCTGGACTTCTCCTGTGCTGTGTTCGGGCCGGACGGGGGTCTGGTGTCCAACGCGCCCCACATTCCCGTCCACCTGGGGGCCATGCAGGAAACTGTGCAGTACCAGGTGAGGAACCCCTTCGTTCAGATGAGCGTTCGGCAAAAGCCAAAGGGTGACGTTACCCCCCCCCCCTCTGTGCACAGATCCGATCGCAGGGGACCAAGCTGAGAGAGGGGGACGTGATTCTGAGTAACCACCCGTGTGCGGGCGGCAGCCACCTCCCAGATCTCACCGTCATCACACCGGTCAGCCTGCTTCTCTGTGTCTCTCATCGGCCTTTTTTTTGGTATTGCTTTTACTTCACAGCTCGATCCTTCCCACCGTCTGCTCTCAGGTGTTTAGAAAAGGAGTCAGCAGTCCTGTGTTCTTCGTGGCCAGCAGGGGGCACCACGCCGACATCGGAGGCATCACTCCAGGCTCCATGCCCCCCCACTCCACCTCCCTTGAGCAGGAGGGGGCAGTCTTTATTTCCTTTAAGCTAGTCACTGGAGGGGTCTTCCAGGAAGAAGGTAGGGCAGGAGGGGGGCACATAAATAATGAAAGACCCAAGTCCCCCCCCCCCCCCCCCCAGCACAGCTCTGCTTCACTTCATAGAGAAAAAGGAACACCTACTGCAATTTCACAAACATTTTGTGAAGAGCGTCCCAATAGTCCCCACACTGAGAGGATCATCATTCAGCTTTTTTTTTATTTAGAAAAAAGACATGGGAAGAAAAAAACAACACATAACTTCTTTGGATTTCATGTCCTGAATTCCATTGGATCTACATCAAACATCACTCAGTCTTATTTAATTTCCCATCATCCATTGTGTGCACAACTGCTTTTTATCTGTCACATTTTTATTTTTCTAATTTCTGAAGTGTAAGTTATTGCATTTTCTAAACTGATGTCAAATACCAAAGACTCTGCAGTCTTTGGTATTTGACCCACCCCCCACCCCCATCCATTTATTTTCCAGGGTCATTATTTTCGTTTTCAATTTAATTGTATGTTTATATTTGTCCCTATATGTGGGATGATATTTTACAGACTGTGTAATTAGAGACTTTTCTCATATAATGAGTCACGGAGACTGTAAATGATGATAGGTAGTCCTCTTAAAGTCCCCCTTTTAAGAATAGTTTTTAGATTGGCCTTAGAATTTAACTAAAACTCTCTGCCTTCATAGACTTTTTAACCATTAGATCCTCCCATTTTGTTGATCCTCTTGTTCTCTTTGTTTGCCTTTGACTTCCTGCCTTTCCTCTTCCACCTCTCTCCATATCAGCTGTTACTGAAGCCCTGATGGCTCCGGCCCAGTACCCGGGCTGCTCTGGGACTCGTAATCTCCATGACAACCTGTCAGACCTGCGGGCTCAGGTGGCAGCCAATCAGAGAGGCAGCCAGCTGGTGGGAGAGCTGATTGACAGCTATGGTCTCTCGGTGGTTCAGGCGTACATGGGATACATCCAGGTAGCACGGCACCAGGAAACACTGCATATCTGAAAAAGTAAAAAAAAGTAATAGTAGTAGTTTTGCAATGGTGATAGTAAAATGGTGATAGTAAAACAAACAATAGCGCAGAACGATCACGTTTGTGGTTTAAAGGCAGCCTCTGGGGGACCTGTTGTTTCAGAGTAACGCTGAGCTGGCGGTGAGGGACATGCTGAGAGACTTTGCACGCCGCCGCCGCCAACACACCGGCTCCTTAGAGGTGGAGTCAGAGGATTTTATGGATGACGGGACGCCAATCAGACTGCGGGTTCAGATAAATGAAGAAGAGGTGAGGGGGAGGGAAAGAATCCCAAGAGGATTATCCTCGTTGTGGGGAAACATAAGAAAAAAATCCCATCAGACTTCTATTATCTAAAAGACCATTCCCTTCTCAGACCGCGCAGTGGATTAAATGAATGAACCTCCATCGTTACAGGGCAGTGCGGTGTTTGACTTCACAGGCACCGGGACAGAAGTGTGGGGGAACTGCAACGCTCCCAGGGCCATCACCCTGTCCGCCCTCATCTACTGCCTGCGCTGCATGGTGGGACAGGACATTCCCCTCAATCAGGTGAGAAGGATTTGTCTTTTTGGAGCCCGCTGTTGATTTGGAATACTATAAAATAGAAAGAAACCAAATAAAAAGCTTTGATTATGTGCTGTCAGCAGTCAGGCTGCTTTTCGTTTAAATCAGATGCTTTAATACCAGCACAGAGAAAACTGTTGTGTGTTATTTTTTATTTTAATCAGCTTTTTCTTTTTATTTATCAGGGCTGTCTCACGCCCATCAAAGTCATCATCCCCCCCGGCTCCATCCTCCAACCTTCCCAGAATGCAGCTGTTGTCGGGGGTAACGTCCTCACATCTCAGAGAGTGGTGGATGTCATTTTTAAGGCTTTTGAGGTGTGCGCTGCCTCACAGGTGAGACTTCATGTGGTTCATTTCGCGAAAATCGAGCTCACTTTGTGGCTCGCGTTATATTCAGTCTGGTCTGGTTCACCCCCCCACCCCTCTCTCAGGGCTGCATGAACAACATCTCCTTCGGCAGCGATAAGGTGGGGTATTATGAGACCGTAGCCGGGGGGGCCGGGGCCGGGCCCGGCTGGAACGGGCGGAGCGGAGTACACAGTCACATGACCAACACTCGCATCACCGACCCGGAGATCCTGGAAAAGAGGTACAACGGACGAGCTGAGGCAGAGGAGTGTGGGGATGCACATTTTCCTCATGTCATCGTTCTGTCTGTGGCTTCCCTCCAGGTATCCGGTGATTTTGGAGCACTTTTCCCTGCGTCCTGGTTCAGGGGGAACAGGGGAGTACCGCGGTGGAGACGGCGTGATCCGGAAACTCCTGTTCAGGAACAAGGTTGTTCTGTCCGTGCTGACCGAGAGGCGGTCCAGCCGCCCTTACGGCCTCAAAGGTAGCCTCCCACTCCCCGTTCAGGCCTCCCTGACACATTCGTTCCTTCTCATCTCCTCCAGAGACTCAAACTCCTGTTGGTTTTTAAAAACTCAGCAAGCTGAGCAGCTTTCTCTTTCTGTCCTCAAACGTCTCTTGTTTTTTTTGGCCCGTCAGGGGGTGAGAATGGAGCGGCAGGGTTGAACATGCTCCGCAGAGCTGACGGCCGGACGATCAACCTGGGAGCCAAGACCAGTGTCAGCCTTCAGCCGGGGGTGAGAATGAAACGCACTAACACCGTTTTATCCCTCTGTGTTGTTGCCTCACAGTGTGGTCCAATCAGACGTTGAAATGAAGGCTCCTATATAAAAATAAAAAAAAGACATCGTATTTGAGAGGAGCAGCTCGTCTCAGAAAGTTGGGACTGTGTCATTGCACTTTGGGAAAGAGGATATGAGGAGTTTTGCTGATTGTCGGCATGTCTTTATTTCTTGGAGACTCTGCCCCTGTGAATCTACCTGTAAATTTGATCACAATTTTTTTTTTTCTGGACACATAAAGCTTTATTCCTGACATCACACAGGCCTTTTACTCCAAAAGTCATTTAATGCACGTGGATTTTTTTTTTTTCCACACTAAAGCTGATGTCAGTTAAGTTACTCCGTACATTTATTTCTAACACGTCCTCCCAAAATGTGTCTCTCTCCCTCTGCAGGACATGTTCTGCCTCTACACCCCTGGGGGAGGTGGATATGGGAAAGGGGATGAGGCAAGCATTACACCTCAGAGCAAGCGAAGGCGCTTGAATGAGACGTTCCCAGAAAGGGGGAGTGTCTTTGAATACCGAATGGCCCAAGAAGGAGTCTAAAGGGGAAAAACTAGAAAGATTTTCGGTCGGCAGTCAGGATTTCTGGCAGAATGGGAACCGGGCTTTTTTGTCCACGATGCAAGAGTTCACTGATTAAACACGAACCAATGAAAGCAAAAGTTTAAGCTTCATACTGTATGAATCAAAGAGAGCACATAGTAGAAGTAAGAGGAGAACATCTTAAGCCTACACGTAGGCTGGCAACAGCTTTAGTTTTTATGCCAGCTCAACTAGAAAAAGCTGTCTCATTTGTACTCTTTTGCTCTGTCTGTTACAGTCTGAGTTACAAAGAGCAGATAATGCAACATATTTTTCCATCTGACTGCTTAGATTAGCAGAGATAGATTAGATTTTGTTGAATCTAGTATTCCATGTTAGTTTAAATATCAATTTTTATAAAAACTTAAAAAGTTTTAGAATCCCATTTAGATCATACATATTACACTGTAAATAGAAACCCCAGATTTGCCATATTAGGTAACATAGGGCTCTGGAATCCTCTTTTTTTCAATTTTATCACAAAAAATATTACAAAAACACAAAAGCTACTTGAATTGTCTGAAGGAAAAGCCTCTATTCCATTTAATCCTCTTATGGAGTATGAGGTGAAGTAGTTTGAGCTCTTGATAAAGAACATATCAACTTGTTTCTAAAAACCTCACATGGCTCATTTGCATCTGTAAGCGTAGTAACTGAATAAAGCTGGAAAACTAACAAACTGTCTCACTCTTGTTATGCAGTTAAAAAACCAAAACACCACCACATTGGATAGGCTGCGCAGCGTTTGTTGGCAGATAACGGAGTCAAACACAGCCGGAGATTTTTATGTGCAACAAGTAGTCACACCCGGGACTGTTGTTTGTTTGCGGGAGGGAAGGAAGGAGGGGACGCATGCCCCCCTGTTTGAAGATCCCCCTCCTCCCGTCTTTGGTGTCGGGAGTGATGGTGGGGCAGGGGGGGGGGGGGGGGGGGGGGGGGAGCAGGCATGCGTAGGCATTTGATACAGAGATAGTGATCACAGCAGGGGAAGCAGCGGGAGGTTGACGGCTGCAGAAATGGTGATGAGAATCAGCCGGCGGTGTGAGTTGGTGCATGTGTGTTTCAGATTTCAATTCCTGTAGCAGGACCGTTATGGAGGGCTGGATTTGGAAGTCAACTCCTCACCTCGGCTGTTGTCACCCTGAACGACCTCTTGATCTTTTCACTTTATCCTTCAGGAGCTTTGCTTTTTTTTTTTTTTTCAAACATTGAAGAAGTTTAAATCACGGACAAAGATACATTTATAGAATAAAATTAGACACTTGGAGCATAAAATTGTATGGAAACAGAAAATTAAGCACCTCTTGTTTTTATAAGATACAAAAAATGCCCTAAATAGTTTTCTAATTCAAAGAAGTTGACAGCACTTCTGGGAAACATCACTCATTTGTTTTTAATCTTTTTTACTTCAATACTTTTACACCATCCTGCATGCATAAAAGGTGCAATTCTCTTTGATACAGTATTGATATGTGACAAAGAACGAGCAGCCTCTTTCAATTTCAAAATTTGCAAAGTCAAACTACAAATTTTAAACATTCTAATCATTCAAAGCTTTCACGACTATTGTGAGTTTTTGTCTTCTGTGCAAAGCGGTGTGAAAATGCAGGTCCCCGACTGGACAGACCCCAGATAGCATTGGTAAACGTTAAAGGTTCACAATAGAAGCATGATCAAGTATCAATTTGAAGTAATCAACCTCTGTACAGAGAACATGGCAGCACTGCTCTGGCTTGTAAAGCTGCAGCCACACAGACTACAGGACTCATGGAACCATGTCCTTTCAGCAGATGAGAGCACAGTGGAGATGTTTGGTCATAATGTAAGACACTACATTTGTGGGCAAAAAACAAACCAATGCAGGATCCCGGCGCAAATGCTTCATGTCAACTGTCAAGCACAGTGGGGGGAGGCTGGTAATTTGGGCTTGTTCTTCTGCAGCCACAGGACCTGAAAAGGTAGCAGTCATTAAATCTAACATAGCCTGATCCATATACCAAAGTATTGCAGAGTCAAACGTGAGGCCATCTTTCTGACAGCTAAAGCGTGGCCTGATTTAAGTAACACATCGGGACAGTGATAACGAGCACAGCAGCAGATTTACCACACGGCGGCAGAAAAAAAGAGGGCATAATCAAGGTGTTGTAATTTTCCAGCCAAAGTCCAGACCTCATCCCCTTTGAAGTGTTGTTGTGGGACCTTAAGAGAGCTATGCATAAACAGAGGGATCCAAACCCGGTGAACCTATGTAACATTGTAAAGAATCCCCCCTCAACTGTGTGACGGGCTGATAAGGTTATACAGAAAATGATTACTTCATGGTATTACTGCTGAGGGGGTGGGGGGTGTGGAGGGTTGTATTGGATATAAGAGTGCACTTAAGTTTTTTTCCACACACAGGCTTCTTGATTTTGGCCTAGTTTTTTCTAAACCGTGTCACTGTGTCATGACTTTAAGACTTAAGGAAGCGATTATTTGTTGTGTGCCGAAACAAAAAGGATTTAACCAATGACGTGACTGTCTTCCCAACTCAGTGTTCTACTTCTGACATGACTTAAAGCCTTTTATTAGAGTAAATAATCCTGAATACTGCCAGAATAAAACTGAATGAGTCTTTAAACGAAAATGAAAAAGTCTGACAAAATTTTATAAACTGTCAAATTAATAGACATTCATGAAAACATGAAGCGACAGCGATTAAGTCAAGAGGGGCTTTGGGCCGAGGACTTTTTTGGATGATTGTTCGGTATTTAAATTATCTAATTTTTATATACAACACTTAGGAGCACTGTTAAAAATAGACAACATTTTATTATAAACCCTGCTCAAATCCAGAACTTTCCTGGGATACTTTAAAGATCTTCACTGAACAACTGATAAAACATTCACTCGTCTTGGGAACAAGACAGTAAAAAGCATTTTGTTCTTGAAGACAATAAAACTGGCCGAGAAATAGTGCAAATATAAAGACAGATTGAGGTACTTGTGATACATCGTCTCCAATGACATGAAAAGCTGCCAAATTCTCACAAAGAAAAAAAAAAAGGAATCTACCACACCGAGCATTACATGAACAGGCTTTCAAAATGTTAACAGTCAAAATGACCAATATGACTATTGCTATGATTAATACAAACAATTCAACCATGCTGACACACAACAGACTAGAGGGACCATTTTGATAACCCAGAATTCTGTTTTTCATACAGCTTGAGACTATGAACACTCCCAACTAGTAGAAAAAAAGCCTAATTTCAAGAAAATAATGCAATTTATTCACCTCATGAGCTTAGATTTAAAATTACTCCTAGAGGATAAACAGGTTTGTTTGTTTTTTTTAAATACATTCCATTTTTGGCACGTTTGTTCAAATTGAGTGGTTGTAAAAGTCCAGGTGAACACAGCCATTAAAAACACACACACACACACACACAAAAAACAGTAGTACATTCAGGAGTCACTTTCAGTGTGGTAGAAAACCTGCAAAAGCAGCTATCAGAAAGCAAATGTAAGGCAGTTTTAAAACAAAAAACAGTGCAAACATCATCTGCTGTGCAAAGAGCTTGTAGAAGTAGTAGAACAGCGTTAAACTGAAACATAGAGGTAGTTTTTTTTTCTTGTTATATATAGTTGTTTGAGGTAGTTTTGTTTCAGTTAACCTATGTCTTACTCCACAAACTGATAAAAGCAAGGAGGGTTACTTCTATGGAAAGAAAAAAAAAATCAACCAGAGGTAACGATGGCACCTCATAAGCGAACATTACCGTCTGCTGCCATTATCTTTTTATAACTTATACTACACATTCAGCTTCGGTAGAGCCGACGATAAATACTGAATCTTGAGTTGCAGCAGAAACACAGACCCCACTCCCACCCCTTAAAAAAAAAAAAAATCTCACAGTGGTTTAGTGTCCGTCTGAGCCCATGGGTCAGTACTGGTGGTACCTGTTTATGGGAGCCCCGTTCTGCAGGGCGTATTGGCTCTGTGTTTGATGATGCGGGTGAGAGTTCTGGCCGGTTTGTACCAGTGCGTCAAACACGCTCTTGTTCGGAGGCACGGACTGCAGCATGTGGTCCAGGTCCATCATCAGGGGAGGGGCTTGAACCGAGACTCTCCTGTTTGGGAGGATAGGCCAGTAGGAATGGCCTAAAAAGTGGCCGGGGGCCACCGGGGAGCCGCCGTAGCCGTAAAGGGGCAGTCCGCCGTGCAGGGGCATGAGGGGGCCTCCGTTGAACCGCATGCTCGGCGGGGCGACGGCATTGGGGGGGGCGTACTTGGCGTAGGAGGTGGGGAGCTCCCACGGAGGGGCAACAGCTTCCCGGCGGGCCGATTTGTGCAGGGGCGGCCTGCAGTCCTCGTAACCGTCCGAGCCCGCCTCCCCGTCGGGGGGAAGGCGCTTCCCAGGGGGGAGGACTCCCCTCCAGTCCTCGTCGGAGGAAGAGGAGGTGGAGGCCGGGCTGGCGGAGCTGGCGGAGGCGCTGCGGGCAGAGGAGGCGTAACGAGGCCGGGGGGTCTGCGGGCGGCGAGGCGGCTCCGGGTCCCCCCAGCAGTCCCTCACGGCCAGGTCAGCGTCCCCGGAGGCACTGGCCGGTCGCAGGCTGTGCAGCAGCGAGTCTATGGCGAAAGAGGAGTCCAGCTTGGGCCGGAACAAGTCCTCCTGGGGCGGCGAAGGGTTCCCGGAGGGTGGGGGGGGGTCGGGAGGCAGCTCGGACTCGGGCTTGTGGCCCTGAAGGATGTAGGGGGCCAGGTCCTGAGCAAAGATGGTCTCATCCTGCCTGGACACGGCCGTGTTCTGCCTCTTCAGCAGCTCCAGAGGAACACGGCTCAGCTCCACGGCCCAGAAATTCCCTTTTCCCTGAGGCTTGCCTGGGTCCTTCAGCACCTAAAATATAAGAGGCAGGATGGACATTGTTAGTTTGGTTTGACAACCAAGTCATCTTGATCTGACCTAGTTTTACAAACACCCATCACATGACAGTAAAAGATAAAGAGAGAAAAAAGCTGGACTCATTGTGCGGTCTTACAATAGTATCAGCATTTCCTTGAAGACCACTGCTGTGTCAAAAGCTTACACACAATGATTTATTTTCTACACAAACCTTAACAAAGCAGTCATAGGAGGAGAGGTTGTGTCGCACAGAATCCCGCCAGCCTTTGTAGTTTCCTTTGAAAAATGGGAACAGGGTACTGATCTCCTTCAGGATCTAGAAGCAAAAATATCAGAGAAATTGAGCCATCATAAATGGAGAAGTTGCCTCTCTGCATCAATCTTTTGAGTTTTCAGTTCAGTTTTCAGATTGTGTGTCTTCGCTGTGATCCAGTGGAAATGTTTAACAGTTGTGTTTTGGAGTTGTGCCTCGTCTTAATAACGCCACAAAGATATATGTAAGGGAAACGCATACAGTGCCGTTTAGGCCAAATGCATGTACTGTATGTCTTATCAACGTCTCAGATACAGATCAGCGTCTGGTTTCACCGCGGTCTGACCTTATCAAAGCAAACCAACAATGGAAAGAGCAGTGGTCACCCCGGTGTCACAAAGAGGTGGCTGGTTAGTGTCACTCCTTACACTGTAAACGATCACCCCGCGTGTTTTACCGATAACCACAGAGCATTTTCCCTGGTGCCTAAAACGGAATGATCCCCGACAGAGAAGATGAAGTAAAAAAATAACGTGACGCCTGTGCGTAAAACGTACCGTGATCCTTCTATGTAGACAAACGTGGCGCTCAGTCTGCTAGTTTTTAACTTCATATTTACCTCTGATAACGTCAGCTTTTTTTCTGGGGACCGCTGGATGACCATCGCGATCATTGCCAGATAAGAGTACGGTGGTTTTGGATATCGCTGGTAGTTCTTTTTCTTCCCCCCGCCGGTGCGCTCCTTCTCTCGTTCGCCGCTCCGCGCTCCCTGCTTCAAGTCGCTGTCCTCGGGATTCTGGCACGACGAATGAGGCGGTGCGGCGGCGTCCGTGAACCCCATCGCGCTGCCGATGTGTCCGGAGCGCGCAGAGGGCTTCTCTGAGCGCGGCGTCTGCTGGGGAGCCATCTGAGCCGGCGGGTGAGGCCAGTGTGAGCTCCGGGTTACGCTGCTGCCAGGACAGCTGAGCGGCACATCTCTGGAGAAGTCAAGTTGACTGTCGTGATGTTCTCCAAGGTGGGACAGTACGGGTGGTGCCAGGAGGCTGTGCTCTGGCCAGTGTTTTGTCATGCTGATGCAGCCTGGGGGGGGGGGGGGGGGGGGGAATCGCCCCGAACGGTTGGACAAGAAGCACAGAGAGGAGGGGGAGGGAGGTCAGAGAGTCGGTCCTTAACTTTTGGCAGACTGCTGGCTCCAGGTTGACTCTATTTGAAGAGCAAACAATTAACAGTTTCATGTAAATCCCGCTGCGTAATCGAGGAGGGAATGGCGCGTTATCTGGGAGCAGAATGACTGATCGTCCGTGGGGGGTTGGGGCGGGTTTGTACATGCAAAAGTGGTTGAAGAAAGACAGAAAGTCCTCTTTCTGACGATATCAACAAGCCACGTACACGCAGAAATGTCTACATTTCCCTGGAAACTATAATTGACTGATTTACGCATGGAAGTTTCACTAACATTGTGTTTTTGGGATGGACACAAAACTTCCATGTGTAGCACGAAACAAACATCTCCCTATTTATAATAATTAAGGCTAAGCCGTTTGTCACTCAGACTGTGGCTTGGGCGCGGTGCAAAAATAGTCAAACGAGAAGGGGTGGGGTAGGGACGAGAAATAAGTCATTTCGATTGAGGCCTTAAGTCAATCAACAATTTTCGGTGAGCAATATACAAAACAGAATGGCTAATATACAAACGCTGGCGTTTCAGAACATTGGGGTTTATCTGATTTGTTAGGGGAAAATAAAAAAAAATCGAGGGGGGAAAAATAGAGAGTAAATTCGCTTATTGCATATTGTGGAAAAATGAACTATAAACTGTCGTGTTGCATCCGCTTATTTATTTGCGTTCCAGGGAGCAAACCATGCTTATATAAATCACACTAGAGCAATATTGAGTTATGGAGCTATACATTCATTTTATATGCTGTAATATAATCAGAGTCAGGATATGTAATTTGGCATCGTTATTGTTGCTCTGTGAGAAGGCTCCACGGGTGGGGGTGTTATGCCCAGCAGGGTGTCTCCTGGACATGGCAGGACTTCATTCAGGGTTGAGAGCCTAAGTTTCGGGAATGCATGTCTTTTGTTAAAAGTAACGCAGTGCTAATGTGCAAACTCTTGCTTCCCAGCAAGACAGTGAAAACAAGTTGGATTAGAAGGATCCCCGTCGGCAAACTGGAGACGGTTCCTTTGCGGGGAGCAAAAGGGAGCTGTTCAACGCGAGTTGCGGGCAATTACAAGCCGCTAAGTGTCGGAGCTGGGGAAAAAACATTCACGCCTTATACGCGAGCTGTTGGAAACACCCTCACGTAGAAAATCCCAGTCACGAATCAACAAAAGCCGAATGTTTAGTGTCATGATACACCCAGCAAACTTTGACACTGGTGTTAAGTTCAGCTCTTTTTATTTCACTAATGAGCACATCCAGTAAGACTAATCTATAGATTGTGCTACCAATTAGTATGAATGTGTTATTTAGAACTGGATTTCAATTGTAATGCTCCATTCTCCTTTATTAAAATACCGGTAAAATAACCAAAGTGTGATTGTCAAAGAAATTCATTCTAAGTGGGGAAACTTACCAAACTAATTTGCAGACTTTGCCAATGAAGTTTGACAATGTTTGAACTTGTTTTCCAGGTAAGACATAGCCAGCAATCCCCATCTGCCCACCTGTTGGAATCTGTTTAGGTGGTTTTCTTCTCTGATTTCCACTTTGTTGAGTAGAAACATTGTCCCCCTCTAGTGGTTTCGTCCAAATCTCAACGTAATGCTTCACTCCCACTTAATTGAGGAATTTGATCTGTGTCTGAAAGAGCTGCTTTAAATAGAAATGACTTTCAGGGACAGCTTTTTTCCTCCTTGGTGAGCTCGACCACTCAGCCTTGATGCATTTGCATACAGAAAGTGTTCAAATCCAGAAAAAGAACACACATAAACTGTGAATGAATCACTTCCTTTCTGCTGGAATGCCATTTGATAGGGTTTGCTTGGATTAGTGGGCAATGCAAGAGAAGAATGGGAAACCATATCAATGGGAGGGCATCTGGGAAAAGCCTGTTCACTTCTAGGCTGATTGTGGCCGCACAAATCCCTCCTAAGCTGTCCTGAAATGCATCCTGACACTGAGTTGGACAAAAAGGGAGAGTTCTTAATTGTGGTGTCACAGTATTCTAACATATCTGCTATTTCTGGAATCGTGGATATCTCGGAAGAAGTAAAAACAAAACAAACAAAGATACTTTTTTAAATGTATGAATGATCAGTCATTTTTTTCTGGTTGTCATCTTTGCTGATGTCTATATTTCCACACCCTGAACGCCACACATGGAGGGCTTTGTGCCTTCTCCCAAGGAAAAGTGGTGGTAACAATAGCTCCCAAGCTGTTTCCTTGTTGTGTCTCTGCAGAGCGTCAGAGCTGAGTGGTTGGCCGGGTCCCTGCAGGGGTCCACAGATCACTGAAGCCCCTGTCTGTTTTCAGGAATTTGCTGCTGATTCTGATGCTGATGGGAGCTTTTTTTGGAAATAAGTTAGGCTATGATGGAAATGATCCAACAATAATGGAATTGTTTTGAGTTTTTTACAACCGTGATAGAATCTTTATGAAAAGGATCAGAACTGTACTGTACCGTTGGGTTTCCGTTTGTAAAACCACCTTTGGTCTGTCATATGTGTAATCAGGGAGTTTATATTTATCGAATATTGTCATACAGGCTAAACTGAGGCTTGAACAAAACAAAAAGTGTGCCTTCTCTTTTCCAGTCAAATAATATCCTTTTAGAATTTAGTGGCTTAATCTTTAAATTATTGGAAATATTGCCATGGAAAACAGCAACAAACTGTCCTGGGTCAGGAGGAGCAAAACAGAACCATGATTTGTTCCAAAAAAAGTTTATCATGCTAAAATGAGCTGTTTCAATGCTTTAAAAAATAATCATCTAGTGGGAAGTCTTTTTTGGGGTTGTGTAATTTGTCCACAAACTGTAGAAATGCAGCTTTGTCCTTTTTGAAAAAAAGTGTGTTGAAGAGCAGAGTTCATCAACGATGGCAAACTCATCACCTCTCACGTTAACCGATAACAGAAAGATTTGTAGTGGCTCCTGGGTGTTGCTCACATTCCCTTTTGACCTAATAAAAACTATCCCACACCTTTTCTATTGGGGTTGTGTTTGTTGCTCGACCAATCGGGAGAGAACAATGGCCTCAAATTTCCTGTAATTATATATAAAGCCTACACAGTCAGGCTGAAGGGATTGTCCACACTCTTTCAAAAAGGGTTTCTTAACCTTTCCCAGTCTTAAGGGAATTAACAGCTTTTTTGTTGTTTTATTTTTTTGTATGAACCTTTCATACTGCTCGTTTGTTCCTGTCATGATACACCTGCACAAATATGATAGAAAGAAAGGCAAACCCATCATAGATTTTTTTGGGGAACATTTATTTAAAAGGGATATTGTCACCCATCCACAGAACACATCTGTCTGGAGTCACAGGACCCTCCCACGTTATAAAGCCAAAATATTTCTGGGACACACTGAATACTTTTTGATAATCACCTTTACAGGCCTTAACTTAAATACAGTGGTGGAGCTGAAGGCCTCTTTTTTTCTTAAATGTGCAGAGAGAAGCTTTGTCGCCCCCTAGCGGAGCTCCGCTTCCTGTGGGAGGAGGAGAGGGCTCTGGGCCGGTTGTTATGGTGAAGCGTTTCCCCTGAAGGCTGCACTGAAGGCTGCGCGGAGCCGGAGTCCACTCAGCCTCACAGCCGCTGGCAGGAAGTCCAACAGGTAAGCGGCCGGCGCACTTTTTCTGTCACTTTTCGTCTTAAGTCGTGTCACCACCCCAGTCGGTTCACGGAGTTATGTGTCAGTCCAATTTGTTAATCTTTTAACTAAACAACAAATAAAACAAAGTTCCTTTTTGGGATTTCGCGGGGCTCGGCAGTAAGCTAACCTGCGGCTAACGGATACTAGCATGACGTTACATCAACGGTAGACGACTTAACAGGTGCGTTTGCCCTTTTGAAAAAAAGAAATATTTGAGAAGCGTAAAACGCCGAAGTGTCCGTTCTGGAAGTACTGTGCAGTTATGGAGAGGACCGGGTGTCTGAAACGGAAGACTTGCGTCCACCTGTGTGCCTGACCACCTGTCGAGCCTGTCCGCGGACCGCTCGGTGGGTTAGCTAATCTGCGGCTCTCACAGTATGGGAGCAGAGCTTACCACTGCGCTTCTGCTTTTGGAGCTCCGAATTGCCATTTACCACACCGGGGGCTATGAGAGTAAATATGCCAGAGGTGTTTCTAGCACAACCTTTCCTTTTTAATTGGTCGAATAAATGATCGTAGTCAGAGGGGAGCTTATGAAGTCAATAAAATAATCACATACTTGCTCATGTATCGTTTGCATGCCTCCAGCAGGCGTTATTGCCCTTTTTTGTCGAGTTCTTCATTATCTGGTGCCACCACAGAATCACTTCCTACTCTTAAAACTGATATTTTATTCATTAAAAGGACTTTAGCTCTCAGTTGAGCTATGCAAATTTCCTAATTTGCTTAGCCTTCTTCTGCTTTGTTTTTGTGGCTCCAGTTGTTCACCACTTGTTTAGTTGTTTTTTTTACCTTCACTGCCAAACTAAATGTCCATGCTGACCATTACAGAAATGTCACATCTATCGCTGCCCTACTATTCAGGAAAACACGGTTATTTTACCTACACACATATATATGTATATAACAGTGTCAGCCTTGGTGGTAGTTTTCAGTATGACATAATTCAGTGGCTGTTTGACATTAATGACTTATTCATGTAAAAGACGTCTTGTTCTTAAGTATTGTAGCTTGTGGTTAAAGTGCTTTTTGGAGGCGTTTTTCAAACACCTTTTAAGCAGTAAATAGGCCCACGTTTTTTGCTTGTTTCACGTTATAGACTGTGATTAGCTTGCAGACGTGCCGGCGTACACAGGGCATGCCGTTGTAAATCAGGGTGGAAGTCGTAAAAATGTGAGATTGTGTTTCAGTACTTATCATTTAGTGGACTGTAACCTGCAGCGCCTTATAAGGAGGGGCGTTGGCTGTCTAACCTGTGCACTCCCACTTGGTAGAAGAAATAATCCTCCATAAAACAGAAGAATTATTTTTCTAGATAACCAATACCTACATGCTTGTTGTTAACTTCATGTTGCCATACAGAGTATCCTCTCTGGAATTCCAGTCTGTTGGATTTCCTAATGATAAGTTTGTCTTGTGTATGAATCACGCCCCCTCTTCTTACCGAGGCGTTTCTTTGCTGTCCATGCTTAAATGTGACACTATGCTTACGCCCCGTCATGCGGACGGCATACAGAGACTCTTTATTCCCGTGTTTTCACTCCCAACGTTGCACTTGCATGGCACGACCCTTCTTCCTGCTTCACAGGACTCACACAACTTAATTTAGGCTGCTCAGTCCCCTCCCCATCCTTCCTCCTCTTCATGTTCTCCTCTATATCCTTCACATTATTTTCTCCACATCCTCTTTTCCCTCTCTTTCTATTTTCTGTGGCCAAATTGCCTAACGCTAATCCAGTTTGCGTCCACTTACATAGTTTTTTTCATGTATTTATAGTTTTCTTTACTCCTTTTTCCCTTGTTCCTGGCTGCTTGGCAGAATTACTGAGATTTCTGTGTGATTATACGAAGCAACTGAAACCTTTACACATGACAGGGCTTACTGTCGATCCTCCTCCGTCCTGTTCGTAGTCCCTCTTGTTTTGTCCTTTCTTTGAGGCCCACAGGCACAATAATGACTTGTGTCATCATATAGTACTTTACAGATTAGGTAGTTAAACAACAAGGTTAACATATGTTTTGTCTCACCCAGAGACCGATTCTGATGAAAACAAACAGCCCTTCTTTAGATACCCTTCAGTTAATAAGGACACCAGCTTGTTATATTCTAATACTCCAAGTATTGTTTTTGATATTTAATTGCTTGATATGCATAAAAAGGCCTCTCTGTGTATTTGGCAGGCAGCTCAGGTCATCTGGCTTAGTTTCAGATTGGAGGCGGGATCATTCCCGAACCGTCCAGCCACATCGACTCAGCATTGTTTGTTTCAGTGAGCAGGTTTGGAACATCCTGCATGTCCCATCAAATCTGCCCTCCAGGCCGTTTGCTGTACTCGGCCGCTGTTGTTTTGTGATGACAAACCACAGACCAAGAACCGGACATTCAGAATGAACTCTGAGCAGAGGTGTAGCTCGTCTTTTGCTCTTTTCTTTTTTTTCCAAGGTTTACCCATGCCAGTTTCATCATAAGCTGTTACACCAAGTTCCACACGCCGAAAGAATGTATGAGCCCTTAATGTGTACGTGTTTGTTCTCAGTGCTCAGTTCTTTGTGGCTGTTCTGAGGGAGTTTGTGCTTCTCATAAGCCGTTGCTTTTATTAGACGTTATTGGAAAAAAAAATAAAGACCACAGATGTCTGAGTGACGGTGAGATATTTCTCAAAACACACAAAAACGCCCTTTTTCCGCATGTGTGAGCTGTGTCACCATGCAAGGGCGTCTACAGCGTCAGTGATCTCACCATGTGTTTCTGCTGCTGTCTGGCTTCTGCTTTACTCAGATAAAATCCCAAGGCTCTTACAGTCTGCCCACCAACACACTTTGTGCAGGGATGTGATTTATTAGATTTATTTATTACAAAGCCAAAGGACAAATGAAAGGCCACTTCACAACTTCACATTGGTGTATTGATGTGGTAGTTGAGAAAACACCTGTAATTCAACAGTGAGTAGGCTCACAGCATGAAATTAGTGGAACTTTGTTTATCAGAGCAAAATGTATGTGATATGTCACATTTTCGTGATAACACACCTTCACAATCTTCCCAACCCTGACCTTTGCTACTTATAGACCTGTGAGTACCTCACATCTTTCTAACCTGAAAACTTGAAGTTATAATAGAAAAATAAATAAGATGATATGGGGCCTAAGCACTCCCTACTTTGTGCTGAAGATTAATTTCCTCCTTTGGTATAAAAGAGGTTGGAGTGGTGACTAATCTACACGGGTATGTGACTCCGGTGCTCATGGTGAATGGAGCATGTTCTGTGGTTGAAAATAGATATGAGAAACTATTCATGTGTGTTAGGTTAAGATGACTGTTTTCTCACGTTAACGTCTCCCTGTAATGGTCCGTCCGCACAGTTCCATGCAGAGCCCTGGCTCTCTGCTGCCTCCTGTGAGGGGGATGCATGAGCACTGTCTGCTGTCTGGCATTCACCAGAGTACTTCTCTGTTACCACCACATCCTCCAGGTTCTGTTTTTCAGTGGCATAAAAGGACAAATACATATCTTTGCTCCGTACTTGGCTTTTTTTGTCTCGATGCATAGGTTCTCTTGAGTGCTGACATGAAGTAACACATTGACAAGCACCCATGAAGTTTAGAAATGTATACATTTAAGATTTTTAAACCTGTTTTTTGTGGTAATTTAAATGTTTTTTTCTACCCTAGGTTAGTTTGTAAAGATCTCATAGGAAGACCAGAACATAAACATCCTTGTCGTATAAGATTTAAAAGTAAGGCTGTTAATTAATTTGAAATGATTGATTTCAATTTGTATGACTGGAATTTGCTTATTAAAATAGCTTTACATTTTACAAGGACAGAGTGATCATCATGAAGTTTTAGTGACTGAAATACAGATTGCTTTAGTTCATTATTACTAGTCGTACAGAAAGTAATCCTCTTTTCATTTAGCTTTTTGAGCTTTGGGTTTGGGACCTGTCTGATTTTGCAAGCCCTAATGAGAATCAGGTCAGAGCTGGAGGTTCTAACGTAGCAGCGTTTGAATTTGGACGGCCAGAACATGAACCTCAGCTTCAAGTCTGCTTCTCAGCTAGAAGCAATCGTGATTGTAGATTAAACAAACTAAGTCTAAGAGAAGGTTAAAGCAGGGCATTTATAATTGGATAGCAAAGATAAAGGACTGTCTGGTTAAGATTCTGGCCTTCCTCATAAAGAAAGTGGAATTACTGTGAGATAGAAATGTTAGAAATAGGCTCGGCTGAGCCTGCGCTCCATTCCTCTAACATCCTGCCCTGATTGGCTTTTGGCTGGGATTTGATTTGGCTTACCAACTCTGCTAAGGCCTGCTAATCAGCAAACATCGTCCTCTTGTGCCCTGGGTGTTTGTCAGTGTTTCTAGACATGTTAAGGCAGAAGGAGATTATCTCTTTTACTTAGTATGTGTCAAAGTTGGCATTTTTTCCGGTGAGCTGGTGTCAAGCCCTTTTTTTTACAGTTTTCACTCATCCACCAATGATTTAAATAATTTAAAACATATTTTTTAAAGTATATTTTGTTACTACATCTCATCTACGAGTTGTGTAAACTTCATCCAGCAAACCTCTAAACCTGTAAATAAACAGTCTATAGAGTTAATTACCTGTCATCAGGCTAAAGTTTAAGTTGTTAATGAGATTGTGGTCTTTGAAGTGTCTCTGCTCCTCACGGAATGTTTCAGGTGTTTACCATTAAGAATATATTGTTCTCTAAGCTGCTTTGAAGGTTCTCTAGAATTGAGTTTGCATATAAGCAAACAGATTTTTCACCAGCTGATGCTACAGTGTTGTCATGGTTTACAGGAACTTAAAATAAAGCACAGCAGTTGGCATGTGATTATACTCTTCTTAAGCTGTATAGTAAGTGTATTCTTTTATCAGTTTTAATCAGTTTAAAGTTTTTAATAGGGGCCATCATTATTCTAAGAATAACGAGAGGTGGATGATGGGTCTTTATCATTTGCAGATGGTCAGCGAAATTGTCTGATCGTCTGTGACGGATTAAAGTTTTAAAAGTAAAACCTCGTGTCATTGGCAGTCTGATAAAACCCAGGTATAAGAAGGGGCATAGAGGACTGGGAGCTTTCCATCCGTGATCTCCGCTAAATGGAAATCGTGTCTGGAATTATTCCGCTAATACAGCTGCCGAGTTCCTGCAGGGATTTTCTCCACAGCTCCGATCCTTTTTTCCCTTTTAAAGCCACTTACTGAAAAATTCAACAAAAACCTTTCCAATTGTTTTTCTGTGGTTCAAATTGCTGAGAGAAAAAGGGCTAGACATATAACTTGCAATCCACTGTTGGCTCTTGGAGATTTTGTAGAATAGCTGCCTCTTGTAGAGGCATGGGCTCGAAACATTTATTTTTCTTTCCATTTTTAAAGATGAAGATTGAATAGATAAAGTAAGCTTACAGTCATTGGAATGTAACTCATGTACCTAGTGCTCTTGTTTCATTCAACTCTGCGTCGATGTATGCATTGTTTGCTTGACCATTTCGTTGTGACCTACACATTTATTGCTATATGGTATGTTATTACCTTGTAAGGAAATCCTTACATTGTACTTGTGACAAAGGATGAGGTGTAAAGAATCTCAAAATAGTCTGTCCCTAAGGTAATAGTCAAGGCCATACAGTTTTCTATGATTGTGGGTATGGAAATATCACATATCTATACATGTATAATGTATGTATAGTTGTTAATTGTTTTGTATTATCAATCTGGATGTATATATCGTAATGGAACTTTGTCACTGCGGCACATCCTTGTCCTTGCCATCTAAACTACTCATATATGGGACGCCAGAGGCTGCCACTCCGCCGTCTTTTCAGTCACGGGCTGCTCGTTGCAGCAGCTCCGTGGCCTGGGACTGCTGTCTTGTCAGCCACTCTCTATCTTGCAGAGTGCCTCTAGCTGACCTTCCTCTCAGCACTCGCAGGCCAAGGCCTAAATAATATATGAGAGGCCTGGAAAGAGCCAAGTGTGTGTGTGAGCCGTATAATTTGGCTTGGAAGTAAACGAAAGGTATTGAGAGCGATCTGGCCGCCCTGGCAGGTCAGAGGTAGAACGAGCACTGACAACTGAATGTTACAGCGCTGCTGGGGCAGCACTTTTATGCCCTTCTGTCTCGCTCTGTGGATTCTTCAGCAGAGAAATGAGCATGTTCGGCAGCAGGGCGTGTCAATCATTAATGAAAAGTGTCCCATCATCTCAGGTTTCCTTCAGGAGAGGAGTGGGAGAGGAGGGAGTTGGGGGGAAGGAGCCCAAGGGTTAAAGATAACATGATTAGGAGTGCGTGGTGCGTCCATTACACTGTAACAGAGCACTCACAATTTCTCTGCTTCCCCACAGATAGCAGGCCATGCCGTTGAGGAAGTGGTGATTGAAACCTTCGGACCCTCTTCTCTTTCATCTGAAGACCCAACAAAACTTGCACAACCAACAAAAAGTTACAGAATGTTCTCCATTTACCACCTGTGGATATTCAACTTCAGTCTGGACTGCTTTTGGCCTTGTGTGAATCCTGCAGTGGCACTTTTCTGCTTGCACTGAATATTTTTGTTCTTCCTTTTGAATTTATTTTTCACCAGCACAAGTGGATTCTCAAATCTTAAACACCCCTTTGGATCCCAGTTTTGGATACAATCAACTCCTTTATGGATTTAAAGATAGAATAGAGTCTAACAGGGGAAGCAGTTTGACTCCCCCCTCCCAGGTCCTGCCTCACTCATTCAGTCCCCCCTGCATCTGAAATGGATGAAAGGATTAAAAACTGTCCCAACTCCTCAGCTTGGATTTTTTTTTATTTGGGCCCTTTTCTACCACCATTTCATTTAGTAAAGGTTGGAGTCTTCAAGTAAAACATGGGCAAAGGAACATGGCAGTAACTTTTTTTTGGTGGCTCATGTATGAAATCATGGAGATATCCATCACCTGATGGAACGACCCGAGTTGTTTTCTTTCAGTAGCGTTTGGGGATAGTTTTGCTTGTTACTCTGATTTTTGTTTCCTATTACAAGAAAACTACACCCTCTTTTGTGTTCTACTGGCCTTTGCGTAGGCCTGCATGTTCAAACATAAGGATGGGGAGGCTTATGTGAAATTTCTTAAGCCTGAAGCGCTGAAAGGAATTATTCCCCTAACATCAGAGGCCAGCTGAAAACAAGCGGCAACACAGGAGTGCCGCCTCCGGCGATGGCAGCTGAGCACGGGGAGCTGCTGGCTGAAATGGCCACCATCGGGCGCCTGGGGGCCACCGAACGCCTCAAGCACGCCCAAAAGCGCCGTGCTCAGCAGTTAAAGGCGTGGGCACAGATGGAAAAGGACGCGGCTCGAGGCTCCAGGGCCAAAGCGGACAAGAAGAAGACCCGCACCCACCGAGTGACTTTCCCCAGCTCCATCACTCTGCTGGACGCAACTGCCCGCAACGACGTGCAGGAGGGTAGGTCATCACGTAGCATTGAGTCCTCCAGTGTCCATGCAGTTGTGCAATTTTGTTCTATACATCTCGGTTTTGGTGAAGCCTGCTCTGAATGGCATGCTTTAACATTCCAAACAGTAAGAAGATCTTCACCGTCGTTTGTCATAATGCTGCCTGTGTGTTTGTTTTAGTGAGGGATCTGCTGAACAGCGGTGTGAGTCCAGATCTGATCAACGAGGACGGACTGACGGCCCTGCATCAGGTGTGCACACAGTTCATTCAAAGCATGGCGGGATGTTTCCTGATTAGTTAACTGTGCTGCTTGTGATGGGAAATATCCCTCCAGGCTGGAGATCTGTTTCCGGAAAACCGAACCTGCGCACTGCCTCATTTTTCCTTTACTTAAATCCGGTGTCTCCCAACTCAGCTTTATAACTAAAAATAAGTGAAAATCTGGTGACACAGAAGAAAACTGTTCATGTCTCATGATGTAATGATTAATTTGTCTTAGACTGGCTCCCTATGTGGATCTGGCCCTGATTGAGAAGTTTTAATGACCCTAAGGACTTAGGATCATACGTCGACACTATGGGCACAAAGACTCGCTCCTGTAGTCAAGAGCAAAAGCTAAAAACAAAACAAAAAAATGCACCATTTTTAGTTTGAGACTCTCCCCAGAAGACTGCAAGGTCATGTTTTGTGCATCCTCTGGGCTTGTGGAGCTGCAGATCAAAATGTGCCATCCACCTTTATTATGTCTGACACTTTATCTATGTCAGCTTACACTGTTTCTCTTCTTCTTTCTCGTTTATCTGGATCCCTTTGGTATGTGTTAACATAATGTCGTCAGCAGTTATCTTAGAGAAGCGGTAGTCGAGGTCCAGAGTCAGGCTGTAACAGTCCCACGGACTACACAGGCATCAGTTTGCCAGTAAAACATTAACATCAGCACAACTGTCCTGGTAAAGGGAGCATCTATAACAAATAAAATAAAAAGCATTGCAGCAATATCTCACCATTAAGATATAAATTTCCTCCTTATTTTCTTCTTTTTTTACTGATTCTGAGAAATACGTAAGGATGCAGAGGAACCCCGATTTAATTTTCTGGTTTGTGTTGGCTCACAATTTTACACATAGTATTATAAAGCTGATAGGCTCATGCCCCAACCCCTCTCCCCCACAGTCCCCATTTGGGAATAGGTGGTTCAGAAAATGGATGGATGGATATTTTAAAGCTATGGGTGAATCCTAACCAGTGAAATAAAAACTCGTCTGAGCTCTTTTCTGTTAAGTCTCACAAACATGGGCTTCTTTTCACTCAGAGGAGTACAGCACAGAAGACTCTTTATAGCAGCCGTCAGTGCTGCCCTTCCTCTTGGAAAATGTAATGTTTGTACAGCAGAGGATGGAAGCTATGCATGCGCTTTTTTTTTTTCTTCCTTAATTCAATATCCTTGCTGCCATTGAGAGCATTGCATCAATTTTTCAGTGTCTGCTGGTCTAAGTTCTCCGACCGGACATGTTTTGTTTGCTGTCCTGTCTGTGGTCATGAGTAGCTGTGATGGACGTCTGCCTGTGCTCCCTGTTCCAGTGCTGCATTGATGATTTTGTGGAGGTAGTGCAGTGCCTGCTGGATGCGGGTGCCAGCGTGAACGCCTGCGACAGCGAGCTGTGGACCCCTCTGCACGCCGCTGCCACCTGTGGCCACACCGGGCTGGTGCAGCTGCTCATCCAATGGTGAGTGGAACAGGGATTGTTTCATTTCTTTTGTTTCTTGAAAGTATTTGTCAAACCAACAGGAGAACAGAAGCTATGGGAATCCGTATCTGTTCTGTTTGCGAGCTAGTTTCATCCTTCCATTCAAAGTGAATGTGTTCTTTGTAGAATGGGGCATAATACGACTGTGAACCACAAGGGAACTTTTCAGTTTGAGAACACTTTGTATACCTGGGTGTGTCACTTTAATCCTGTGGATTGGGTGAATTCATTCTGTGTGTGCTTTCAGTGGAGCCGACTTGCTGGCGGTAAATGCGGATGGCAACATGCCTTATGACCTCTGTGAGGACGAAGCCACCCTGGAGCTCTTAGAGATGGTCATGGCTGAACAGGGTGAGTTAGGGCGAAAAATACCAACCGTCTTTCATTTTACTTGTCGGAAAAATTCAATTTCCTGCCCTTCTAAGCCTCTCAGCCTCTTAATTGTCACAGACACATGCAGAGAGTTGTGTTTCTGTCCTCCATTCGTAGGGATAACTCAGGACCGCATAGATGAATGCAGAGGAGCTAAAGAGGTGACCATGTTGGCTGACATTAAGGCTCTGGTTCAGAGCGGAGCCGACTTAAATGCACAAGACAATAATGGAGCTACACTGGTGAGTTGAACGCTAAGGCTTTCAATTTGGACATAAAAGGTGCCAGCAAATGCTGTCAGAACCTTTTGACAAGGTCCCAAAAGTGTTTTTCACTAAAGCTAAATACGTAGAGTTTGTGGATCTCCCCTTTGCTGCAGTCCTTGGCTTACACGAAGCCTCACTGTTTGTTTTTTGTCAAACCCCTCACAGCTCCACATCGCGTCTGCCAACGGCTATATGTCTGTAGCAGAGCTGCTGCTTGAGAACAGGGCTCAGATGGAGGTGAAGGACTCGGATGGGTGGACGCCGCTGCACGCTGCCGCCTGCTGGGGGCAGGTGGGTACTGCAGCCATCCCCACACAGGCCCACTCATTCCCCAGCTGACTCCGTTCATTTTGCGTTGGTTCCGCAGATCCAAATTGTGGAGCTGCTAATGGCCCATGGAGCCAGCTTGAACACCAAGTCTGTGCTGGAGGAGACGCCTTTAGGTGAGATCAGTTTGTTTATCCTCAGTACGACTACATATGAACCTCAGTGTTTATCTTTGTTTGAACCTGTTCTCTCCCTTAGTCACTTTTGGCAGTTTCTAACTTTTGCTCTGTTTGTTCTCTCAGATGTTTGCATGGACGAAGAAGTCCGAGCCAAACTGATGGACTTGAAACACAAACACGACGCCATCATGAAAAGTCAGGAAAGACAGAAGGGCACCCTGCAGAGACGAGTGTCCAGCACAGGAAGCAGAGGGTGAGGGGAGGGGGGAACCTCGGCGGACGCGGAGGCTGAAAACGCCCCACAGAGCGCTGAGGGGTTTGTTTTGTGCATCCAAACAGCAAGGTGGTGCGACGCGTCAGCGTCAACGAGCGCTCCAGCCTGTACCGGCGCGAGCACCACAAAGAGGCCATGGTGTGGCAGGAACGCGGCCGCCAGCCGGAGCCTCAGGACGAGGACGAGGACCGGCAGACCGACAACGAGCTGCACCAGCAGGCCTCCATGGTGACCGGCCGGGGGGGCTCTGTGTGGCGTTTGTGTGGGACGAGCCGGGGCTTCTCTGAACCTCCTTTCTGCCTCTCAGGTTGCCGGCGGAGCAGCGACGTCTCGCTTAGAGGAGCTCCAGGCGGCAGACCGGAAGATCGCCCCCAGCCTGGGGAACGGGGAGACCTCCGTCTCCCTGGCGTCCTTGGTGCCCGGAGAGCTGTGGAGCGGGGGGGGCCGCATGGAGCGCAGCGCCTCCTACGAGCTCAGCTCTGCGTCCGGAGCCGGCGCTGCCCAGGGGGAGGCCGCCGACAGCATGTCTCGGGAGAAGTCGCACCACACGCTGGCCGACCTGAAACGGCAGCGGGCGGCCGCCAAGCTGAATAAGTACCCGGCGCCGGCCCCCCCTCTGCCCCCTCCCGTGGAGGAGGAGACGGCGGCCGAGGTGGCCAGCTCTCAGGCCGAAAACCAAACCACCACCCCCACGGAGCAGACCGTGTCCCCCAGCCAGGTGTACTTCACCCCAGCCAGCGGAGATCCTCCACTACTGAAACTCAGAGCCCCCGAGGAGGATCAGTCCAACAGTAAGGAGCCCTGCTGTGGCCTCATGTAGACCGGACTGCCCACTCACACACGGCGCCTCCAAAGTGGCTTTCACACTCTGAATTTGACAGCGAAAACTGGAAGTGAGGGCCACATGCCAATGACGGTTTCATCCACATTGCAATCCAAGTGCAATCCCTTTCTTTTCCTTTAGTTTACATAAACCATGAACGTCTCTTCTGCGCCTCCTTTTGGCGGTCAGCGTTTCACCAGACCTTCGACCACCTAATCACGTCTGTCATCACAAGACGCTTTCCATTATTCAATTATTTTCAACAGCAATGAAATTTCATTGGAATCAAATCAATTATGAGTTGTTAAAATAGAATCACAGCTAATTTTATTTGAGAGAAATGGGGTTCTTTCTTTGCTGAAATGGCTGCTGTTAGGGTATATTTATACACTCATCCGACAAGTCAGATATGTTTTGACATGTGGAGCCACAGTGTTAGTGACAGGTCGACTACATGGATCCGTTATGATGAATTTATTTAAAGATTTTTTTCTCATTGTGAATTAAAGATTCATCAGTTAGCATTCTGGTGCATAGAAAAAGCCTATATTTCAACATTTGTAATAGTGCACTTTGTAAATGGTTTGTCTTCAGAAAATTTGATAATTATTTAAGAAAAAAAAAATGACTCCAATATCACACCCAGATTCCTGTTACTCTGTCAGTATTTCTATTTTTCTACACCCAATATGGAATCATTACCTGTACCAAGAGAAACGGCTCCAGATCCACATCCTGAATATTTTTGTGTTAGGAGAATCAAAGATGTGGTTCTAGGTTTTATTGTCAAATGAGAAACAAATCAGATGAAGGTGCCTTGGTTCAGCAGCTTGTTTAATGATGGTTTGCGATGGTTGCACAAAGTCCCACGTGGAAGCTTTGGTGAGCGGTGGGACTGAACGATCTGGCTTGGACTTGATGCTCTGTAAATGCACACGTTCCAGTTTTGTTAGTTATTTTTACTGATCCCTGTTCAGAACAGAAAAAAAAACGAGACATAAAGGAACATTGTTTTCGCACATGAGTTTTTGTATTTTTGTAATGCCAGTTTTTATTTATCTGGATATTATAAGTGTGAGTGTGTGAAGAGAGGGAATATAACGATGGCTTTAATGAAATATTGTATCCCTTTTGTGGTATTTCTTTCAATTTTGGAAACCAGGCTCAGCTGCTGCTCCTCTGGTGAGACTCTCAGCCCCCCAACCCCGTTACCTGAAGTCTAAAGCGCGCTCCTCTATCGGTCAAATCGAGCCGTTGAACTATTTCTCCTCAATCCAAACCCCACCCTGGCTTTTTCTCCTCCTTCTCCTCCTCCTCTTACATCACACTTTCGGCACATCTCGAATGTCACAGTCTGTTCTTTTCCTTCTGCCAGGGCAGCAGTTGACATACAAAGTATACTCTCAGGTTTATCTTTCTTTAAAAGTTTAATTTATTAAAGTTTGTTGTACCCAAAAACATTAACGAGCACAAACGTCCAGAAGTCCTAACTTTTACACTCTTGGTTTAATGTTTAGTGAGTTTGAACAGAACTTGCTGGGAATGCCACACGTTTCATAGAAGCCGATGAACCGTCTTTTGAAGCGAGCCCCTAAAATGACACCCGTTACATGAGGTTGTCATTTGATGTTGCCAAATGAAACACTCGGTGACACAGGAAGTCACCAGGGCATCACATGCCTGCATGTGAACACTTTTAGGAGGGGGGGATATCAAGTGTCTGCTCCAAGCTCTTTCCAAGATGTCTGGAGGGTTTCTTCAGCCCCACACTGTGTCCTTCGCACTGGGACACCTTCTTTGGCTTCAATATGAATCCAAAAAGCTCCAACCCGGCTTCTCCCCTCTCATCTGGCTCCTCTCTCCTCAGCGTGTTCCTTTTATTATTATATTTTTGTTTAAACAACAAAACGGGCTTGAATAGCAAGAGGGAACACGTCGTGTGTATCTGATCACAGTAAACATTTTTCTTTTTTGGCCACAACCACAAAAACCGCTCTGGAGTATTGTGTCTACAGCCTCCAGTTTAGTTGATTCTTGTCGGCTCGATTACACACGGGGGAAGTGTAGCCTCACATACCCTCAGGGCAGCTTATCTAACACATGTACTTTTACACTTTGAGTCTGGGAAAATCACATATGTTATTCTGGCTTACTCGCTGTGAAATAGCTAATATGACCAGTTAATGTATTTCTTTGTATATAAGTAGATGTGAATGAGAAGGAAGTCTAGAATCCCCTCGGAGAGCCACAGAGATTCTTCTCAGCCATCAGGTAAAATGTTTTTTTTACTCTAGTGAACCTTCTTTTGCAGCTGTAAAAGTTTAAACAGTTTAAGAAGACGGACAGCAAAAGATGAGTAGCTGTACGTATATTGACTGAGGCTGAAACCCCTCAAACAGATCGATGAGTTGAGTCAAGTTCATTTCCATGGGGATAAAAGCAGAAGACGATGGTAGCCTGTAGTTTGAATCCTGTCAGATGGTTTGAGAAGTTATAAACATGTTTGTCAGCAAGGCTTTTAGGGCCTTTTGATTACTTTGACATGTTATATTTTAGCAAACTAAACTTTATTATTAGTAGGGTAATGTAGTAAGTAGGCTACAGTGTCTGATCTAATTCTATTGTCTGTAGATTATTTTCAAGATGAAAATATTTTAGTTAATGCAAAACATTAATCATGATCTGCAAAAAAAAGATTACCCTGAACAAAAGTATCTTGCATAGGTACATTATAAATAAGTTTACTTTACTTCAGAAATGTACGAACTATTTTTCTAACTTAAAAGGTAATCTCATTGTTTATATCCTTGCGATTTTCTTTCCCGAAGACAAAAGCTTCAAATCTGAGTCTGAATTCGATGTTGTTTTTCTCTGAGGGCTCTCGTGACACGTTTACGTAACTGGGGAGATTATGAAAATCCAAAAATGACACCCTTTCCTCGCTTTTAGATAGTTAGAAATATCAATAATGGACTTGAACTACTCTTTTATGTAAATTATCCACTATTTGCGAGCAAGTTCACGCCGCATTTATGATTAGCTACAGCCTCAAAATGTGTCTGAACTGAAATATTTCTGGGAGAACTTTCGTCACGCTAGTGCTCCTTGGCTAACCTTTAATGAGGCTAACGCTAAAACATAGACCTACGGACCTGTTTTATATCGGCAATTCGGTCTTGCTGTAATTGTGTTTTCGCTTTGGGTGACGTTACACGTGAATGTTTTGAGGCTAACGCGCGCGTGTCCGACGGTCCTTAAATGGGTCATTTGGCACGCTCTATTCAGGAGCGAATTGAGGGAAGAAAATTCGACCAACCGCCAGCAGTGAAGAGCGAAGGCGTGGCGGCCCGGCCGGGAATATGAACACCCTCCGCCTCCGAACGGCCACTTGGAGTGAAGTGGGGCGCGAAGAGGCAAAGTAGAGAGAAAATACACGAGCCGAGCCGACTTCAACTCCGCCATCCCTGCCGACCAGCTGGTAAAAGCCGATAGACTTTATCTGTGCACGTGCAGCTGCAAAATTCCTCCTCAACCGTCCTGTCCTTCTCTTTTCTTTCTTTTTATTTTTTGGTTGTTTTTCCTGCTTTTCAGATAACTTTAAAGCGTGTGTTATCTTTTTTGTTGTTGTTGTTGTTGTTTTGGTAGAAAACGGCCGGAGCGTGACATAACAGACATGTCCCACCAAGCGGTGAACGGGGTCTCGTGCCGGGACAAGGTGCTGACTCTGGACACCATGAACCCCAACGTCCGGCGGGTGGAGTACGCGGTGCGCGGCCCCATCGTCCAGCGGGCGGTGCAGATTGAGAAGGAGCTCAGAGAGGTACAATTACAGATGGGGGGGGGGGGCACGACAAAGTATTTCAAAAAGACTTTCAGCACAGATATGGCACCGAAAAGGGGAACTGGTTGACGTCAGAAACGGGGGGGTATTTATCTCAAACGCATGCTTCTCCTCCCGGACAGTGGATTTCAAAGCCCGTCCAGCTGTGGGAGCGTTGAACAGCTGGAATTTGACTCAGGGGAAGGGCCCAAACCACTTTGGAGCGTTTGCATAAGGGGCTCAGTTTGTCACAAATCTCTTAACACCTGCTGGGAGATCCCTTTTGTCACAAGAAAAACACAGACTGTAGATTTTGGCACGATGTGGACACAGCCCGGGGGAAAGGGAAAAAAGTGTCTTCACTGGTGTTTCCTCAAGAATTGATAGAAAGAAAAAGACGTGTTCGGCTCTCTTTACCTTCAGCAGACGTAACCCGGGTCTGCTGCTCTTTATTAGGAATGGTAAGCAGGTTGGACTGGGTGTTTGTGTGCTTCTTTCTTTTTCTTTTTTTTTAAAGCCATAGCTCAACCCTCTCTTTTTCCCGACCCACGATAAGCCGCAGAGGCCTGTGAGTGCATTTCAGCCCGAGGTGGCGGGGGGGGGGGGGGGGGGCTCGGTGGACTGAGCTGCAGCTGGGAGGCCCGGCGGGCTCGGTGGCCTTTTCTCTGTGGGGACGTCCCTCACATGAAAGGAACTTCTCCCATCCAGGAAAAGCCACACAGCCTCACGCCGTCGGGGTTAGAAAAAGTTCCATGGCGGTAGGTCGCTCCGGGTCGGATCGCAAACTGGGACGTGACTTGAGTTTCTTTGGGGCTCGCCGTCGTTTCCGGCGGCAGTTGACCGGTCGTCTGCGGGCAGGTCCTCCTGCCAGGTCCACCACCGGAACGCAGCACTGGTGGTTCCCTCAGAAATGAGAGGCCAGACATGGGCCGTGGCCGGGTCACTAAGGCCTGGATCTCAGCTTCTGATAGAGCGGCTTTTTCCATGAAGACGAACCAGAAGACGTCTTCAAGCTGGACGGATCAGAGGGGCTCCGATTGTTGCCCAGCTGGCACCGGTTGAAGCTGAGCTCGGTCCGGTTCCACCTCCACAGGTCCAGTGGGAGGGGACGGCTGTCGGGCCGGGCTCTGTTCCGCCTCGCTGAGCCCACAGAGGCTCCCGGCCCGGTGATCGGTGCCTGGTGCTGACTGAGCAGCCGGGGAGCTCACTGGCTCCCAGAACAACCGGCCTCTTTGTTGCCCCGGAGCCAAGAAGGGATGGAGAGTAAAAGGCAGCCCGTTTGTATCCAGTCACACTGATTTCGAGCTAAGCAAAGTAAACTTTGACGGAGTTTGCTTTTCCTACCATTCAGGGGTGAGGACTTTTTAAAAAAAATATTTCAAAGGGGAAAGTTCTGACTTTGCCCTTTTTTTTTGCACTCAGTGGGTACAAAGTTGATCTCTGCTCCCAGCTCAGATGGTTTGGAAGTTCAGGTTACTCATGGAAGACTAGAGAGAACTGGTTTGAGTTGGTAATGATATGCAGTTCATTGCCCCCATTAAATCCGCTTGGATTCACAACAGGGAGCGTGCTTATAAAGGTGCGAGCGGCCATCTAAAACTGTTTGACTAACAGGGAGCGGGGCTGTCAGCGCGTGTGACAGGAGGCGTTTATTTGATAACGTCCACGGCGTGCCGGTGCACACCTACCTGTCCAGGATCTCCGCTCAGCCCGGAGCCGGGCGGCGTGCCACGCTGGCCCCGCTGACCTGGCTGTTTTGAATCCTGTTTGAATGTCTCCATCTGCATTGTGGGGCTTCAGCCTCATTTGCAAAGGTGTTTTTTATTTGTTCTTTTGGTACCAATGAATAACCTGATACAATCCACGGTTTAAAAAAAGAAGTGGGAACATGTTTACCATCCCATTCAGCAGCTTTATTTCAGGACAAAGACGTTCTTTGGGGGTGGGGAGGGATCTTAGTTTGATTTCTCTGACTTAAATCGGGAAGCCTGAAAATATGTCACTCATCCACACCCACCAGCTCCCTTTTGGTCAGCCCTGTTCTAAAAAAACTGCAGTCTGTCTGCTGAGGGGCAGCAGCAGGTGCAGGGCTGCACGGACAGGCACCAAACCGGAGCCCACACGATTCAGTTACGTCAAAGCCACGAGGGGGGGGGGGGGGCTGCTGCTGGACAGCAGAGCAGGAGGGAAGTAAAGAAAATACAAAGCAGTTGATGATTACATGAGGCTACTAGGAACTTGGTGAGGATCCCAGCCACAGACAGGGAGAGGTTTGTGTGTGTGTGAGGCCCAGTGGGAGCTCATCCCCCCTCTCAGGCCCACAGACAAAACCAGACTCTGTGCCGGGGTCTGTGTAAATCAGAGAGGAGCTAATGAGAGACAGTGTGTGAATGTGTTTGTGTGTGTGTGTGTGTATGTGTTTGTGTGCGTGTGTACGTGTGTGTGTGTGTGAGCGCTTGTCGGACTGGTTTGAATTAAATGCTGTAGCGCCGACCTGAGAAGCATCTAGAAGCAGCAAAGATCTGCAGCAGCTCGGACTGCTCCTCACGCCAGGTGCGTGTCGGGACGCGTCCCGTTCTGCCACAAGCGTTATTCAGCCAGCCCCCGTGCGAGCGCACGCCCGCCGCCATCTCCACTTAACCGGCCCAGTGACACAGACTCTCTACCTTTGCAGGGGGTCAAGAAACCATTCACAGAAGTCATCAAGGCTAACATAGGAGACGCCCACGCCATGGGTCAGAAGCCAATCACCTTTTTCCGACAGGTTGGACACAAAAACTTCAACTTTCTTGAACTGTTTTATGCTCATTGGAATATTTTTCTTGGCTTTTTATTTATTTATTTGTTTATTTATTTGCTTCAGTACTTTGGATAAATGAGTGATACTTTCCTTTTTAACAGTCAATTTCCCAATTGACCTGTGCCCCCCCCCTCCCTCAGGTGTTGGCTCTGTGTTCTTATCCCGACCTCCTGGATGACAACAAGTTTCCCGAAGATGCCAAGCAGCGGGCGCGGCGTATCCTGGACTCCTGCGGAGGCCACAGCATAGGTCAGACCCCTCCCCCCGGCCACCTCCAACCACATGGCTCGTCCACGTGCCCCCTTCTTAATAACCAATCGGGGCGATCCGGCCCTGCGTGGGGCCGGCGTTGGCAGGCGTCCCCCGGTCGATGCGGTGCGTCCTGTCTGATCCAAAGTTCACTCCCGGTGTGTTGCAGGGGCCTACAGCGCCAGCCAGGGGATCGAGTGCATCCGCCAGGACGTGGCGCGCTACATCGAGAAGCGGGACGGGGGCATCCTCTCCGACCCCGACAACATCTACCTGTCCACCGGGGCCAGCGACGCCATCGTGGTACCCCTCCCGGCTTTTCTGTTTCAGGAGATGTTTATCTGTTGTTTGGGTCCGGCTCGGGCCGCACGTATCCGGCCTGTTATGTAACCTTTGTTAATCATAGACGCAGCTGTACCTTGCCCCCCCCTCCCGGTGACCCCTCCCCGCCCACAGATCTTTGTCACTGTCGCAGGCCGGTTAGGCCTCAGGACGGCGGGGCGACCTCGGGCGGCTGGCCAGCACCGGAGGCCCCTTTGTGACCGGCCGCTGTCCACCTCTCTCCCACCCAGACCATGCTGAAGTTGCTGGTGTGCGGGGAGGGCACCGAGCGCACAGGGGTGATGATCTCCATCCCGCAGTACCCCCTGTACTCGGCCGCCCTGGCCGACCTGGGCGCCGTGCAGATCAGCTACTACCTGGACGAGGAGAAGTGCTGGAGCCTGGACGTGGCGGAGCTCAGGAGGGCGCTGACCGCCGCCAGGCAGCACTGCAAGCCCCGCGTGCTGTGCATCATCAACCCCGGGAACCCCACCGGTGGGTGCCGCCTCCCTGCTCCGGCTAGGTGGTTGTTTTGGAAAGGGAAAAAAAATTTGACCTAGATCAGAACGTCAACACATATGTGGGGACTTGTTAAGTCTCTCTGTCCTCGCACGTCCCCGCTGAGCCCCCCCCTCTGCCCCGTTTGACAGGTCAGGTCCAGAGCAGGGAGTGTATCGAAGAGGTGATCCGGTTCGCCAAAGAGGAGCATCTCTTCCTCATGGCCGATGAAGTAAATCACAAGTGACTCTCCCTCACATCCACAGTCTCACATGTCTAAAACCGTTATTTGATAATAGCTTAATCAGGAGCAGAGCAAGGCAAACACAGATTTGGTCACTTTCTTTTTTTTATTGAATTCTTTTCATATAAGAATAATTTGTTCTAGTTTCCTAGTTTTTTATTTGATTCCTGATTTAACAAATGTTTAATAACATTAATCAGGTAATATGGGTTGCACAGAGACCTTGACCCGATGACCTATGTGAGATGATAAATTATCATCATTATTAGTGTGTCCTGTTGGATGGACATACTTTTCTTGTATTATAGTCTGTGATCTGATTTTGTAGCCTTTCTCATGGAGGCGTTTTCCCGCCACAGGTCTACCAGGACAACGTGTATGCAGACGGCTGCAAGTTCCACTCTTTTAAGAAGGTGTTGTTTGAAATGGGACCAGAGTATTCCAGCACATTGGAGATGGCCTCGTTCCACTCCACCTCCAAGTGCTACATGGGAGAGTGAGTAGCTCCGCCCCCGCTGGCCTCCCCCTGTCGGGAGGGCCCCTCGCTGATGCCTCCTCCACCTGTAGGTGTGGATTACGTGGAGGCTACATGGAGGTGATCAACCTGGACCCAGAGGTGAAGGCCCAGCTCACCAAGCTGGTGTCGGTCCGCCTGTGCCCCCCTGTCCCCGGACAGGCTCTGATGGACCTGGTGGTGAACCCCCCGCAGCCCGACGAGCCCTCCCACTCCACATTCATGAAGGTCAGAGAAACACGCTGGGCTACTCAAGCCACACACACGCGCACACACACACCCACGCTGTGATCCGAGTGTGTGTGCAAACAGATTATGCTCATGCAAACACTAGAAAACAGTACACCTTATAATCTGAGCAAACAAAGCCTCCATTGACTGTGCTAAAGTCCTCACACGGCTCTTATTAATAATCGGCTTCTGTTAGGTGGAAAGAGGTGCTCGTGTTTCCTCGTGAATACAGTTCTGAAACCTGTTCCTCCTGCCGCGTTTAGTGGAGGTGCACCTCTCTTTTCCGCCTCTTCAGGCCTGACTCTTCTGTTGGAATTTAGAAAGTGTCAGCCTTAAGGTTATAGAAGCTCTTTGGAAACCGGTTTTCTACGTAAGGCTGAATGCTTGTGGCTGATGGTTCAAACACACCTTCACCCCCTCCAGGAGCGCAGGGCTGTGCTGGCAGCTTTGGCCGAGAAAGCCAGTCTAACGCAGGAGATCTTCAACACGGTGCCCGGCATCACCTGCAACCCGGTCCAGGGGGCCATGTACACATTCCCCCGCCTCTCTATGCCCCAGAAGGCCATTGACAGCGCCAAGGTGCGTCGCCCCCCCCCCCCCCCCCCCTGCTCCGATTTTTGTCTCTGCTTAGAGAGCTGTGTGATCATGCTGGGTGTGTCTGCAGGAGAAGGGCCTGCTTCCAGACATGTTCTACTGCATGAAGCTGCTGGAGGAGGAGGGGATCTGCCTGGTGCCGGGGAGCGGCTTTGGTCAGAAGGAGGGAACCTTCCACTTCAGGTCGGGGCACCTCCCCATCAGTAACTCACACGTGGCCCGTACATGAGCTTTCCCCTTCGCGTTGCACAATATCTGAGGTCAGTAACCTCATCTGCCCTCCTCTCCTTTACCCCAGGATGACCATCCTGCCTCCAACTGAGAAGCTGAAGGTGGTGCTGCAGAAGATCCGGGACTTCCACTTGCGCTTCACGCAGGAGTTTTCCTAACGCCACCGTCCCCCCCTCCCACCCCAACCTCTCAGACTAATCTCAGAAGCCACCTCATGCAGTGCCAGTATCTCAAAGTGCCTTTGTCTGAGAGAGGCCGAGGCTCTCTGCGGAACCCGCCTGTCACCTCCAGAACCACATTTTAAGACTAGTTCAGACTTAAAACAGAAAACTTTTTGTCAGTTAAACTGGAATGTTTCCTTGTTAGTGAATCAGTCAGATTTCCTGTTCGTATGTACACGACGCACTTTGTGTATAACCTGACCGGGTCTGCTATGATCAGAACAAAATGTTAGGTTATATCTGTCCTCAGGTCACAGATGTGTAACAGATGTTTCTTGCTGGACAGTTTTGTTAATTCAACATGTTGTATGATTACGGTACTTGATTTACTGAGCTGGCCTGAAGGCCACCACTTTTAGAGCTGCTGTCGTGGTAGTTGATTCTTAAAGCCTGTTTCAGTGTAAGCATTTGTATTCTTAATGCGTTAAATGTTCCTTAAAGTGATTCTTCTCAAATCTTTGCCCTTCCCGACCTTTCATATCTAAGACGGCATTTCCAAAACAAACTCCAGTATTTGCACTGATTCACTGTCAGTCAGCTCCTAGTGCTGGTCGACAAAGCCACCATCACTCTGTTTTATTTAAAAATCGTTAAACAGTGCTTACATGCTTTTACAAACGGAAGAAAGCTGAATCTCTTGAAATGAACAGAAACTAAAAAGGGGGATTCAATCTTGTAATCATGTCAGTAACACCGTTTATAATCCCTGCTTCCCTCTTTATCCTCAGCGTCCTCTCAGACTCAGTCCCAGTGTGGTTAGAGTTCTCAGCCAGCTGCAGAACGTCTCAAAGCTCGTCCTTCTGTAGCTTTGTGGCGTGCTTTTCCAGGAACTTGCTGAGCCCTTCAACCGTTCTGTCGCCTCCCTCTAATTTGACTGGGCTCTGCTTGCTGTTACTTGGGGCAAAGTATATTGTGGGGAAGCCCTCCACTTTGTAGCTGTCGTGTGGCACGTCGTTGGCGGTGGCGTCCATCTTGGCGATCACCAGGTTCTTTTCGCCTTTGTACTTTTTGGCGAGAGCCAAGTAATCAGGCTCCAGTTTCTTACAGTGCCCGCACCACGGGGCATAAAACTCGATGAGGACGTCTTTCTGGGTATCCATGACGATATCGTCAAAGTTTTTTCCCACCACGACCTTCACTGGTCCCTTGTTCTTTGGCAAGGGCTGAGACTTGATGATGGGCTTCAGCTTCCCTGCAAATCAGAACGAAAGGGGGAGTTTTATTTTAGTATTAAATAGTTGGGGGGGGGGGTTTGGAGGGGAAAAAAAAAAAAAGATAGCCCTTACCTTTCTTAAAAGCTATGACAAAATCTCTCAGCACCTCCGAGTCGAACTCTTCCGGATCCATGGCAAACTTTTTGCCTCCGTCTCCCATAATTCCCACATTCACTTCCTCTCCGCTGTCGCTGAGGCCGAGGCTCTTCAGCTCCTCGGCGTAGTCCTCCTCGTCGGCGATGGCGAACGTGTACTCGGGGAAGTCTTTGGCCACCTCCAGCACCTTGGACCTCCAGAACTGCGTAGCTGAAGATGAAAGTGGGCAAGAAAGAAGGTTTGTGTCACACTGGAGCATCCTCTTACATAAAAAAAATAAAAAGTCTCATTTAACTTTCAAATTAACAAAATAAAGACTTCCCCTTTTTAATCCCAGATTAAAAATAAAGAAGACAGCAGGTCATAGGAAACTACCTTTCCTGTAGTCAAAGCTGAAGTCGACCCCATAGTAAACCACCACCATGGGCCTTTTGCCGTAGCGTTTGGCATCGTTGCTGGGTTTTCTGTGACCCACCAGAGGAATGGAATGTTTCTTGAAAAACTCCTGCACCTCTGACACTGATGTGGAATCCTGTAAAAACGAATATACGATGAACATGTCTTCAGTTCAGAAGACAGTGCAGCGCTTTAAAGCCCAGCGCAGCCGCTGCTCCATCAAGCGTTACGAAGATATTTTTACACAAAACCGAAAAGATGAAGCGAAAGAAAAGCATGAGCATTACTGCTTTCATACCCAGAGGAGGCGATTCAAATTAACTTACTGGTAGTTTTAAATAAAAGGAAAAAAAAAATTTTTTTTTAAAGAAATACATTAGTTAAACGAAACACGACACCTTGACTGTGAGCTTGTGAGATGTCGGCTCGTGCTTTGAGTGGAACTTCTCAGGCTGAGCGACGACAATCTGACCAGGAGAAGCCTTCAGCAGTTTGGCCACCTCAGAGCTGAACGTGTGACGGAAGGTGAAGTCCTCTCTCAGAGAGTTACCTGCACAGGAACAGCAGTTTGTCATTCACGTTAAAAAAAGGATTTAGAAAAAAAGCTAAATGAAAGGGGGATGCCTGTAATCCATACAGGCTTCGACGTAGCTCTCGTAGGCTGCGTCCTGCTCGTTGGTGAACACGCCGACTATGACCGCGTCGTCACCGTCCTTGATGAGCTCCTGCACCTGTTTGGCCGCCTGGACCTGCTTGGAGGGAGGCCCCGCCTGCTCACTCATGTGCTCCACGATGCCTGAGGAAATAAGGAAATAAAAAGACAGCTCAGTGGTGATGCTGGCCCGAAAGCAGCGTGCCCAGCGCTCCGGGCCAGCGACCTACCGTACTGCTCTCTGGGGCCGTTGTAGTCGAAGGCCTTGCCCTTGCGGAAGATCTTCAGGGTGGGATAGCCGGTGACGCCGAAGCGCGAGGCCAGGTCCGGCTCCACCGTGGCGTCCACCTTGGCCAGCGGAATGGGAGGAGAGCGCTTGCTCAACTCCTTGGCCGCCTTCTCGTACTCTGGAGCCAGACGCTTGCAGTGTCCACACCTAGAGGGAACATTTAAAAAAAAGGGGGGGAAAAAAAATCAATTAATCCAAGAGCAAACATTTGAGAGCTTTTTTTTTGTTGTTTGTTTTAGAACTGATCCGAATGATCTCACTCACTTGTGGCACATGGTCAACACTTCGTAAGCGACTCACCATGGAGCATAGAACTCCACCAGGATGATGTCTGCGTTGTCGACGGTGTCGTCAAAGTTGTCCTTCGTCAGCACCAGCGTGGCCTCGGGGGGCGGCTTCCAGTCCGGGTGGGACACCTCCTTCACCCGCTCCACAATGGCTGCAGCAAACAGGCATCGGCCGCGTTAGGGCATCCTACGTTAGGGCTCCCACATTGGCCCGGAGAATGCCCGCTGGCTGCGAGGCCGTAGGGCGCCCCCCCCCCCTTACCCTTCTCTGTCCGGTCTCCATCATAGTCCACAGCCTCGCCCTTTTTCAGGATCTTGATGGTGGGGTATCCCGACACGTCGAACCTGCTCGCCACCGCCGTGGCCACTGTGGCGTCCACTTTGGCCACGGGAATAGGAGGGTCATTTTCTTTGAGGGCCTGAGCTATTTTCTCGTACTCCGGGGCAAACTGTTTGCAGTGACCACACCTGAAACAAACAGACAGATGTTGTGTGTAAGAATGCCGTCATTACAAGGTAGGGACAGTTGTTGTAAAGCTGGCATGAAAACCATTTTTTTTAAAGTATTCCTTATTTGATTATTAAATCTAAAAATTGACTTTAAGAAAAAACGAGACGCCCTAAACCTACCACGGAGCGTAGAACTCCACCAGAACCGTGTCTTTGCCCTCCATGAAGATGTCAAAGTTGCCGTCGGTGAGCACCAGCACTCCGTTCTCCTCCTTCACCTCCGTGTCATCTTCCTCGTCACTCTCTTCGTCCTCGTCGTCGTCACCGTCTTCTTCGTCGGCCCCCTCCTTGTCTTCTTCAACATCTAAACGTCAAACGGGGGAAAGAACCACACCGACTTTAAAGTAAACTCGGGGTAGTTTGGGTGCGTCGACCGGAATCCACGCGTGGAAATCTTGGTAATTTAAAGACAGCAACGTGTATCTGTCGGGTCAGTTTTCACGCAAATGTCGGTGGAAAAAAAAAAAGTCTTGACACTTAGGATAACGACCATGAACCCCCCAAAAAGCTATCCGACCCTATAACTACGAGCGTTTAGCCGTTCTGTTGGTATTTTGTTAGCTAACCTTGCTAGCTAGCAGGTTAATTGCTGTATCCATAGTAACTTAGCAAGCTCGTTAGACCAACACAAACTCACAGAAAATACACACCACCCGCACCTCCGCTTATCTTAAGCACTCAACGCAGCAAAAGCAGCTCAAACATACCGTCTTCGCATCTGCTGACAGTGGCGAAATGTGCAACGCCGAGCAGCACAATTAGGAGCAAAGCCACCTTTCTCATTGTCCACAGATGATGCGGGCTCCCTCGTTAAGGACGCGCTGCACGGAAGTAGCCGATTAATAACTGTAGCTAATAACGCTGATGAATGTCATCAAAAACCTCTCAGACCCGCAGTCCGGATCAATACTGATTTGTGGCAGCGCAAATCTTCGGGATGCGATTTCATACAAACTTCTGAAATCACACACGCCACCTCCTCCGTCTGGAACTTGTCTGACTTGCCACGTTCCGATTGGTTTTCACCGTTTCCTGTTCTCCAATCACATGCCGCCACTCAATTCCTGAGTGGGAGACGTTGAAGGACGCTATTGGACAAATGTATTTATTGTTCTCCTCCTGGACCACAAACTGGACATTTAGGCTCGGTCACCAGTGTGTAATATTAACCTGACACACAAACTTAATCGTAACACAGTTTACCCTAAACGTCCTCATCCGGGAAAGCTTTTACCCGTCTTTGTTAACCATCTTTATTCCATATTCAAAATATTGAAATATAAAAATAAAAAAAACATATTTTGGTAATAACAATACTTTTTTTACAGGGCTTCTGTCTGATGTAGGAAATCATCTCTGCTATTGTCAGAACATTTCTGCTGCTCTGAGATCTTTTGGTACTTCGGACTGATGAGGGCACTGCACCAATCACCTAGAAGAAAGACATGTACATCAGAGCACGACAGTTATCAAAGACAATCGGAGAAATTTGTAATAGCTTTTAAATTCATATGTACCACTCTTGTCCACACTGCTGTAGAGGACAAATACATAACACCCCTCCTAAAAGGAGAAGGCCTCTGCTTCCAAAGAGGTGGTGACAGGGCAGCGTCTGAAGAGAGTGAGGCCCCAGAACTTTGCATTAGATTCCCCATGCAGGACAAAACCACAAGAGGGATCAGACCTGCCAACTAGAAGAGAGAAGGAGCAGCTTTCCAGTTTGTGTTTTGAGTTTCTGCGTTTTGAGGGGTCTTATATTGTTTCTCACAAAATATTTAATGCAACAAACATGATACACCAGCGTGACTGTCGGCAGACTGACCTGCAAAAGGGAGGCAGTGGGCGACTTTTCTTTTCCTCTCAAGTATCATCAGCTCCCCAGCAGGTATTTATCTTTCTGTTTATTTTGACAGATATGATGGCTCAATGGGGACAGGTTACTTTAACCTTTCAGACGGGTCACTGTGATCTCGCCTGAATTGGACTGTGTGCCTGTGTGTGTGTGTGTGTGTGTGTGTATAGACATTAAATCTCTCTATTTAAAGGGTGAAATTATGTTAAAACAGCTCACTTCCACCCAAGTGCATGATGCTCTCCAGTATCCCATCAGCCCTTGCTGCAACCATGGATGTTTGATGACAGAGGTTTAGTAGCAACAAGAGGAAGAGGAGACAACAACAAAAAAAACCCTGAATATGTGGAACTCTGACCCAAAGCTCATTTAAATCTGATCTGAACTTAAGAACTCTGTCATGACATTTGAGTGTATAAACTTTATTGTAGTTCTCTCACTTATTTTTCTGCTTTTGTAAGGACAATAAGCCCTTCTACCTGGCAGACTTTGACAACAGAGTCCCACAGGGCAGGAGTGCGATAAACCTCCACTGGCTGGACTTTGGCAGAGGGCAGCAGCACTCCGCTGGGATTCTGCTCAGTGAGCGGAGTCACTCTGGTGAACTGGTTAGGAGCTGGGCTGTACAGGGTGAGCTGAGCCTTCGGGGCCACCGTCTGCCTGCCCAGCCAGTGTCCTCAAAGCAGGAGCTTCAGTCCTGCAGATAAGTAGAAAAAATGCTAAAGCACACAAACTAACAGAGGGACCACTTTAGACACGTTATTATGTCCGTATACTCCACTCTGAATGGCCAAAGCCAGCTTTCGTAACTGATTCTGAATAGCAGCCAGTGTGATCATATGTCCTTGGATATGTTGCTATGGGAACCTAGAAAAATGTGACATTTGAGGGTGAAGATAGTGGAACAATCAGCAGCCCAACAAGAAAAAGGCATTTTGACCTAAGAGCCACACAGAGAGAACACTTAGGCAGCAGAATAAATTAAATAAAGTGGATTGAAAACCTTAAATAGATAAACTGAGACACAATGGCACCTTACACTAAATGTACAGTTTTAATTCTGCAAAATGTAAAATATTACACATGTTTAAAAGCAAAATTACCCATTTTGCACCAACAAGGTGATTTATAATTAGTTATTTGGCAAAGACTTTGAATACTGGGTCAGTGGGGGATCAGTTCTCTGAAGATGGAACAATAGGTAGAATAAATAAAAAGAAGGGCTTCTGAACATCCTTCAGGAAGCCTGAAATGTTCCTGAAGGCTACTTGAAGACATTTCTATGGAGAGGGTTCATGTGGTCATTGTCTTGAAAAGCTCATTAGGAATCCACAAGCTCTTTAGGCTCTGCCGTTCATGGAAGGAAAGGTAATGAAGCGTCTTTTAAACACCGGTACAACAACCTAAAATCTATTAATGCGACTAATTAGGATAAAGCACACTGTATGGAAATCTGTCTGTAAATTCACCATAAAGCATTATCTAAACCTATAATGAGTTTTAAAGATTTTTCTTCATAAAAAAAATCAGAATATCCTGACAAAAAGTCAAGTGCTGATATTGAAATATCAATATAGCAACAAATGTCATTTTCAAAAGCACCTTATCACTAGTTTCATAAGGCAGCTCTGTGTTGAACTGTCTGTTTACATTTACTATCAAGAGCAAAGGTTTCACACTCATAGCCGGTCTGTCCTTTTTAAGCCTGCACATATGAGGCCTAGCCGAAGCATTAAGTTAATTCTCTTTGCCTCAGAAAAGTGCAGCTATCCAGAAAAAGCAAATATAAAAGCAAAAGAAAAAGGTCTTGTTTTACCAGCTGTACCTTTTGAGTCCCATACAGTCATACCATGACCCCCTTGTGCGTAAAACATGCACTAAACAGAGCAGAGTAGTTCTAGACTTCCGCATTGAGGATATTTCAGAATGAGGAGTGATGCAGAGTATCTCTCAGAGTAGCACTTGGGCTCAGAGTGACAGCGTAGCCCTTCCTGTGCAAAAAAAACAAACAGAAAGTAAGACATTCAATCTGCTGTTAAAGGTGTAAAAGCTGATGAAAAGGACATCTGGCCAGAACAGAAGGAGCTAAGAGATATGTGTGTCATTCCGAGGGTAGAGCCACAGATTCATGTAGTTTACGCGAATCTCCTCTCAAACAGCAGTTTAGAGTGGGACCCAGGGTCCCAGGGCAGGGGGGAGTGCTATTCTCTATATTGTACTTCATCAAGAAATTACATTCAAAAGGTCAAACTGACTCCTCGAGAGCCATTAGCTGCTGAAAACTGGATTAAAAAAAGAGCAATAAGTTATATTTCATGCAAACATTGTGTGCTTGTCTGTCTTCAGAATTGTGTTCGAGGACTTTTCCACCACATCTTAACCTGCGGTGGTCAGCAGGGTTTGTGTCCTCCAGGCTGGATGCGTCAGCAGGCCCCCTGCTGGTCGTCCCAGGACAAACGGAGCCTGCTCTCCACTGTGAGACGGTATCTATTCTGATCACTCAGGTGCTTTTTTTCTAGGTACCCTCCAAAAATGCCGCGTCTAAGTTAGCAACCCCTGCAGCTGGAAATGTCAGAGTGAGCAGGATGAGCTACATCCTGATCCCAGTACAAGTAGGTGCTCAGTGGGTCATCTTAAAGCTGCATCCCAACCTCTAACGACACACTCGCACGAAAGAAGAAGAAGAAACACGTGCGAAGAATGTAAGCATTAGCGTTGGACTAAGAGACTGTAGCATTTGATACTATCTTGTAATGGTCAGATCGTAACAGATGGGCTGACCAGGAGGAAGAGGAACGGAAGAAGGGGCAGGATGGCAGCAGGGTTTTGCGTGTGGTGGCCTCTCAAACATCCCGACGCAACAGAGGCCGGCTTTGGTTGTGTGTCATCCACTGAACAGTCAGAACCCAGAACTCACAGCAGATCATTTGTTGAAACGCAGCTCTGACTTGTGAGCTTGTTCCATTTCCACCTGAAGGGAGGCGCGACAGGGAATGCTGAGCATGCTCTGGTTTCCATGGTGTCGCTGGGGAGCACCGAACTCCCACAGCTGCTATCAAACCGCCTGGACACGAGCCGTTTGACTCTCAAGTTTGACTCTCTCACCGATATGCGACAAAAAGATAATAAGAAACTTTTCTTCATCCTTCAGCATGCAGGTAATAGTACTGAATCTATCTTTATAAACAAAATTAGGCATCTATCTTTGTCTTCTCACCTGATTTGTAACTCGTAGCAGGTCTTTTAGAATGATACCACCGTCTACCGACAATCCCTAAGTTTGAATCATATGTCATACAATTATTTAAACCCATCAAATAAAAAAGAGAGTGACAGTCCTGGAGATTGTGCATTTGTATGTTCTGATTGTCGTGCATGTGCTGTTTTGTGTGTTCACCTTTACAGTCATCACTGGGTTCACCTGCAGGGAGGCTGAACTAATATTGGAAGTATCTCCCCTGGTAAAGCATTCTGGGGGGGGGGGTCTGCCTCCAGTGCTGTAGCTGTACACACAGTGAGTCCTTAATCACACACACAAACACAGGCATGCACACAGATTATTGTGCGAGGGCGTATAGAAGTCAACTAGCACAAAGACTTCACCGCCAGAGAGAAACTACAGGGAAATGTGGAGTTTGTTGTTTTTATCATTAACTACAGATGTGAACATCTGCGTGTTTTGTGAGAAAACAAAATCTCTTGGAAATAAATCCCATAAAAAGAAACCATCGAATAAAAGTCAAGTTTGTTAAAGGTGTACAAAAGGACACACTTCCCTTTTCTCAGATGTCTTTCATCTCTCTTGTGTGTGTCTCTCAAAACCAAGTGAAACCAGGCAGAAAAAGTAACACAGAGTATGTTGTGTGTATGTTATGATTTGCCATCATTTGTTATGGTGCTTTGGTCAAAATAAGCACAAAAAAAACTCAATTTCTTCATCCGCTGCTTTTTCATGTCAAGTTTAATCCATGTTTTCACTCACCGAGCTGTCCATCTGCTCGACCACTCTCAAAGGAAGGGGGGGTCAGATTCCCAGTCAGCAGAGGACTCGGGATCACTTGGGGATTTGTGAACAGCATCACTGGGGCCTCTGTTGTCTGAGTGGGAGCTACTGGCCCTCTGAAGGGCAGCCGGGCTGCTGACCAACGTTAACCACAGGCCGGTACAATCCTGGAGTTTACATCTGTGCAGCCGGAGCACAATTAAAAACACACCGGCTGTGTTTGGCCAGTTTGATTTGAAATAACACATCCCTACATGGCTGTGACTTTATCGTGAGGACAGCCTCTGTAAAAGCTGAATGCTCTCCTCTGTGGACAGTTCACTCCAATTGAAACTGGTCAAAGTTGTCTTCCAAAGCTGTATGGAGGAAAATGGGACATATTATTTTTCTAAATACATTTATATCTGCATGCAATGGATGGACAACAGGCGATAGGAAAAACATATTCAGACCGATGTTTAACAATTTTTCCAAAAAGATGCCAACATATACTGAATAATGATCCCTCTGTTTGAAAGTTTCCAGGCATGCCTTATTAGGTCCCAACAAAGTGGCAAAGGAGACTCTAAGCAATAGAATCATATTGTTTGTGTATCCCCTTCAGGCTCCTGTGCAACATATTGCGTCTCAAGAGGAAAAAGCTCTTTCATGGACTGGAGACAGAGACCACAGAAACAAGTGTGTGTGGAGTTAGGGGGACACACAGCTCCTCTAACGAACCCCAGAAGGATCAGACATGAGGACTGCCACCCAGCATCAACAATACGCTCAGCACAAGCTCAAGAAGACGGAGGAGAGAACCTGAAAGCTGGGGAGGGGATAAGGGACAGAGCCGAAGGCAGAGAAGTGAGGCAGGAACTGGAGGACTGGATGGCAAAACCGGGATTACTTTTTAAAATTTGATGGGAAGTCAAATCAGTGATGCTCCAGGGACAGAAAATGGTTTGTGGAAAGAATCCAAAGTGTTCCACCAGGTAAGAGACAACCACCTCCACTCTGAATTCTCTTTTTCTGCAGAGGGACAAACAATCAGGTAAAAAAGGGGGGCGTTTTGTACTGTGAGGAAAACAACATTAACATTCAAATGTACCCAAAGAGCCAAAACTGTCCGAAAGACCAGTGTAAAGTCATGATGGACTGAGCTCTGTCCAGGCCTAATGGTTCTGTGTCCTGAGTTCCAGAGGAAGGCGAGGCCGGTCCCCGCACTGACCCGGCAAACAGACTGTCTGGTTCCACTGGACCCGGTTGTGGAGAAGGAAACCGGCTGAGCTTTGCAGCTCTCTGCTCCACCAGCGGAAACTCATCAGAGGTGCCAGACGTCTGACCCAGAGACGCAGCCACCAGCAGGTCAGGAAGCTCCTCTCACTGTGACCTCGCACGGCTGAGAGAGAGAGAGTCATTTTATGCACACTGTTTAGCAAAAGAAGAATCTTAAATGAGAGTCAGTGTTGATCATGAGCATGTTTCACACCTGCCCGGGTTTTGGTGTCTCTCTGGGATCGTCCTGGAGGAGGTTCTGGCCCGTCTGGAGTCTCCAGACTCAGCCAACAGAGTGACGTCCGCATTAGTCGGATATGCTTGCTTTTCAGAGTATATCCTCACAGCTAAGGTGTCCAGGTAGATTTTAGTTTTGTTCAATATAAACGGATAGGCCAGTACTGTGGAATCCTGATGTGCAGACTTTGTTGTAGTGACAAAAGAATGAAAGAAACAGCCTTGCATCCATTCAGAAACAGACGAACAGAAGTTAAGCCTGTTACATCTCTGATAAAATGATTCTGACTCTCTTGAATATTTCTTATATCAGTGGTGACAGAAGTATGTCACAACTCCTTTGTCTTGCGTGGCTTTTGTAGTTTTTTTTTTCTTTACCTCCGCTCTCTACACTGTGAAGTCGTCTGATGGATGGGTGGCTGCGCCATCAGACTAATTTTAGCTCGTGGTGAGGGCTTCCTCTTCCCTTCGACACACATTCTCACGCCTTTGCTCCGACGAGACACTTGCTTCTCAGCTCGCAGCTCGATCACAACCGTCCCGCTTCTGGCACAGACCCAGTTATGCTCCGTTCTTCATTCTTCATCATCACCCAAACCAATGGCCCAAACTGTCCCCATGGCAGGAGGAGGTGGAGGAGGGGAGGGGGGGGCTGTCAGGGGTGAGAACAGTTGTTACTATGGTGTCGACTGATATGGTGGTATGTGATGTCGCCATGGTTACCGTCCTCCCTGCTGCTGAGGGCTTCGTGGTTTCTCGGAGCTGCGGTCGGAGCTCAGAGCTGACAGGTGTCTCCACGGCCACACAAGCAGCAGCCCCCACCGGTCAGCAGATCCCCGGAGACGCCACAGGATGGACCACCTCCTCCAGGAGCACACGTCCACGTCCAGACGGTCCCCACGCAAAACAGGTGCAGCTGAGTGGATGTGAGTACTCACATGTACAGTCTCCTGTGTCCATCCGCCAGGCCGCGATGCATTCACTGACACTGTGTGAGGGCCCTCTGGGTCAAAGGTCCAGTTCTGAGTACAGAATACCGAGAAATCCAGGAGGCTTTTTGTTGTTAAACTAATACCTTTTCCCACAGAAGCACCTTTTTCTATGGCGGTTTACTCACAACTCCAGATAAAAAGCGGAAGGATCTTTTTGACATTAATCTGACAAAGAAGAACTAGATTAGTTTTGGTGTTGAAGAATTCAGTTTTTTCTTTTTGCTTCACTTTATTTTCCACGGGCTTGCTTAATTTTGAATTTAATTGAATTTCAAAATGAAGAGATACCCACACATCCATAATGGTCAAACACTCCATTTAGCATTTTAACCTTCAAACCTTCAATTTATTTTTAACTCTTGAAATGAGCAAGTTACCAAAGACAGCAAAGTGAAATGCAAAAAGAAAAACGATGAGCCTGAAGGAGCTCTGGCCGACTGTCAATGGTTGATATCCTCTCTTTGAATGATTTTGCCATCTAAAATGTTTTACAGTTTGAGTTTGAATGCATATTTTGCACTATAATCCAACATGGGTATCATCTACTATTAAGTCTGCATAATTCATATTCCTTTTGTAGCATAAAACGCAAAATCTAAAATTGTATTTTGATCATTTCTTCCTGGAGATGGGTGCTTAAAAATTCATCTGACATATTCACAAATGATTAACCGATTAGGACGAACATTTTCCAATTTTTTCTGCATGACAAAGTCTCTAATCTGCCACAGTGTCTTTATGATTTTTTTTATTTATTTAAAAAATAATTCAGATAAACAATAAATGTTTGAATATTGCTCTGTCATCTAATATTTGGAACTGACGATTTTAAGCAAAAAATAAGAGAACATTTGATTATTTTGTTCACTATTTCAACATTAATTTCAATGTTAAACAACTTCGGATATTTTTAAAAGGCAAATATATAAACCTCCATTTGTTAAGCCGAGCAGAGACTGGTAAGCAAAATATTCAAACATAAGGAGCCTGTATCTTGGTATTGATGTTTTTTGCAATTTGATTTTCTATGAGGAAGTTACAAGTAACCAGGTCACAGAACAAACACTGAATTTTCCTTAAATGAAGTTGACTGAACTTTTAAAAATGCAAGTTCCTTGTGCCTTTTAGTTTCTAATGTAAAAAAAATGTAAATTTGTAAATGATCACATACAAGCTGAAAATTTGAAAGAAAACTTAAAACTTAAACTTCAACATTCATCTTGAAATAGTGCAGAGGAAAAGCTAGTGTTTTCACAGCACGGTTCTGACAGCAAGGACCAGAGAGGCAGGCTGTCTCTGCACCCTCCACGCTTTTCTTTTTGTCTTTGTGAGCAAACCAGCAGTCCTCACAGCCCCCCGCAGCGTGACAGGGTCACCCCGGTACGCTGCCACAACAGGCATCTTATTAGCCTCCAAATGTGAGGAGGGAGAGCAGGACGGGGAGCCAAGAGGAACAGAGAGCAAAGAAATCTGTTAGTGGCTTGGAGGGAGCTGCAGGACAGACAAGCTCAAGTCTGAGGAAATGTTGGAGAGGGGGCTGAAGACTTGTACAGGTAAAAAAAGTAAAGAGAAAAAAATCTTATAGCACAAGACAATGTATTGTGTATGTTTTCCTTGATCAGTTTTAATAATTGATTCATTCATTTATTGTCCTTTCTGCTTATCCCTAAAGGGAAGTGGCAGATCCCTTATTTGTTAACTATTCAAAATATTTTTTTCCTGTGAACTTCCTGGTGTTCTATCTGCCCGGAGTCTTCCAAAGCAAGGTAAGACACGGTGAAGGCACCTGCATCTGACACCTACATGGAGTGAACTTTGACCTATGGGAATCCTCCCCACAAACTACACTGTGACAAAAGAGAGGTCACATCAAAAGCCATAATCCCTGAAAAAAAGGTTTGAGAGTAAATTGAATGGTTATGTTCCTAAAAGTAAAGAAAATATTGGTCAGATCTTTTTTATTAATTTCTATTGATAGATTATTTTATACTAAAACTCACATTAGCACTTTTTTCAAATAAAAATGCTAATGACTTCAATTTCTTATTGACTGATTTTATTTTATTTTTGGTTTTTGCTTAAAGCAGATAAGAGTGGGGGGTATATTTGGAATAGGCCAAGGGTTTTTTTGGGTGGGGGGGTGTCAGAGCATTCTATTATTAATTCAATCAATGATTAGTTAAAGGTAGAAAATTATTAGTAAATTCATTTGAATCCTTTTAGTTTTGGGTTTCTAATAACAGACCACAGGCTACATTTTACACAACTCACTCCAAGCAGCACGAATGCCTGTGACGATAAGTTAATGAAATAAATCCACTGAAAATACAGGTAAAGATACAAAGAATTAGGCAATTTGATTTCCTTGTATGTCATGTGTTTTTTGTGTGTTTTTTTTTTGTCTGTGTGTTCACCTTCCTGATGGAAGAAAGTGGTCGAAAAACTCAGACGGAAGGGTGGCCACTGCAAATGAAGTACAGTGCAGCAGCAGCTGACCTGTGGGCTGACCAGGGGGGCGTCCAGCCAGGTTTCCGGAAACCCTCGGGACAAAAGCCCTCCCAGCCTGCTCTGTGCAGGAGAGCTGACGCTATGCGGAGAGGGTCCTTCACTCCTGAGAGGTGCCACGTTTCCTCTCTGCTCACTCCCAAGGACCCGGCAGAGAGCTCTGTAAGTAAAAAAGAAAGAAAGAAAAAAAAACGCAAAAATAACACAAGAGATTGCATTTCGGGCGCGTGCGCGTCGTTTGCTCCTGCAGGCTAAACTTTGCCAACTCAGCAGATTCTGCCAGATGAGAGGATGAAACCGAGGAAAGATTCCAAGTGCAGCGAATTCTCTCACCTTTTGTCTTTGGCTTCCTCCTTTCACATCTTTTGACCCTTCTCTGGAAAAAATGTGCTGAAACACCCACTGACCGCGAGACCATGCAGCCGGTTGCCACAGTAACAAGCCTCTGCAGACAATGCTGCAAACCGGTACCTTTCAGAACAAACAACAGAGGTTGATTTCAAATACTGAGAGCAACACAAAGACTCGGAGTTCAGAGTTCCAGACGATGCTTGAAAACGGGATGTTTGGACCAGCTCGTTTTAGCAACACACGGAAAACTACGCGGACAGTTTGAGTTGGTCACACACGGGTTGAGTTATTTATGGGACGCGATGCCAAACTCACATTTTCTCTGAAAAATGTTTCACTGATTAAAAAGACACTGCTAAATCGTGCGTTCCTTAAAAAAAAAACAGCAAAACAAAAGTATTTTTAGAATTCTTTCGAAGATAAAGTGAAATGTTTCAGGGAGACCCACTAAAAATTCTTTGGATCTGTAATAACTGGTATATTTAAAAGCCGATTCCTCAGGTTCCCTTTGGCATATATTGAGTCGTCAGATTCCACCAATAGGCCTCTTCCACTTATGCCTGATCCAAGTAAGACCTGTCTTTCTTCATCGTACAGCTTTATGTTAATCGCTGGTGTTTCACATCCAAGTTGGAAAACGACCCAATGCGCGTCCCCTCACCGTCCATCCGGGCTGAGCCCAGAGCAGCGCAGCGGGTCAAGGTCCCCATGCCAAATGCTGGACAGAGCAGGCGTAGACTCACCTGACCTGGGGAAGAGGGGGGGGGGGGGCAGACCTGTGAAGGAAGCTGGAGAGCAATGAAAGTAAGTACGCAAAGACGCAAAGTGTCAAGACGTGAGGAGCCAGGCAGGGAAATAAAGGCCTGTAGGAGTGATGCAGTAAAAGACCTGAGATACAATACAGAACCCCCGCTTCCCCAAGTTAACTTTTTAGTAACAACGACCAGGGCTTTGGATCCTGTACTTAACTGTGAGGCGGTCAGAAATACGCACATGTATGTGAGTGATTTTGTTTTAATCAAATATTTGCAGCCTCAGTCGTTTTAGAGACATATGTTAGTTGTCTTCATGCCATCTGTCGGTTTCATCAAATCCCCCTCACTGGATTTATTTGAAGATTTAGTGCAAAGGACACTATCGAAGGCCTTTCTTACCTCGTCGTGAGATAATGTGAAGAATGCTCCTGGCACTGACAGGAATGCCAGTAGGCTTTTCCTCATTCCTCCGGGCTTCTGTGTGCACAGATAATGTTCATATCGAGCTGGTTTGGTTGCGCTTCTGTTCTGCGCGGTTTAGGGTCTGAAACACAAGTAGGAGATGGTTTGTTTTCAGGGCACAACCACGGAGAAAATCACAGCTCCCCCAGAGCCACTTTAGAGCTGTGTGACATCAGGAGTGGGGTTAAGACTGATTCCAGAGGTGACGTTTGAACAAGGAAGTGTCTCTTTATTTTATTGTGGCATCACGCTGGTGGTAAATGGAGGAAGTCAGAAAAGAGTAGTTTCATATCAGGACTGCAAATAGGAGAAGGGGAAAAATGTCAGCACTTTAAGTCGATTTTAATTGGGGTCTGACCTTTTCGTGTGTTTGTTTTATATGAGTATCAAGCATGCTGACACATCCAGAACGACTCAGTTTGGAGCTCGTGGAGCTTTGTTCCTCCGTCTGGATCACTTTTTTGTTTCATTTTGCATATGGAAACTCTTATCATTTTAAATTACAAATGGGAGGGCGGTATATATTTATATACATATATAAATTAATACCAACAGTGCTGTATTTGAGCTTAGTCCTCAGTTTTTTTTAATCAAAATTGAGTGTGACACCCATTTACCCCTCAGTGCGACTCTCTCTGAAGATTACGTCTAAATTTGTTCCAAGAAAAAAAAAAGGCAAATCGGAACCAGAACGGATCGTCTCTTTAGTTTAGATCTCCCTGACAGTCCTCTCCCGCAAAAAAAAAGGGAAAAAAACACCTCCCCGGAGTGCAGCAACTGCACCGGTCCACCTTAAAAAGCTCTTCCGGTTTCCCTGACCTCCCCTTTAAGAGGAGCCTCCGCTGCGCGTGCCGGCCGACAGGGGGCGACACCAGACCGCGGCAGCCCCTCTGACCGCCGCCGGAGCTGGACACGCGCACCGGGGGGAGTCAGATGCACTTTCTCTGCTCACTTCCACGCGCGCTGGAAATGGATCCGTTCGCTCTCCTCTGTCAGGTGTCGTCAGACATTTTCCCCCCGTAAAACCAGCAGAACACACGTCTGGAAGAAAAAAAAAGAAAAGAAGAAACCAATCGATCTGGTTCGGTCTCCCAAAAAAAAAAGAAGGAATTGGGGGGGATTTTCTACAAACAGTTGATAGATATCAGAGCAGCAATGCGACCCCACGGAGCAGATGGGATTAAACATAAACCACTTATATTAAACTCATTATCCAACTGGGGTCGTTCGGAGTGAATTGGGTGAATTTACATAAGAAGATCTATATTTAAAAAGAATCGCCAGGCCTGTAGATGTGCTCCAGAATTGCCTGGATCTCCTCCAAGAGCCCCCGGAGTCGATTCCCACTTTTCAGAAACCAAACCGAAAACAGTAACAGTGACAGTAACAGTAACAGGTTCTGAACGGTGTCCCGCAGTCCCCCCGGGCCCGCCGCGCTCCTCCACGCGTCCCCATTCGATCCGCGCACCTCCGTTTCCACGCGGACGCGCGGCGGTGCCACGAACAGATGAGCCAGTGAACGAAATCTCCACAAAGGAGCCGCCAGCTCCGCGCTCCGGCTCCGCGTAACGGAGCGCCGAGCTGAAAAATAATTACAAATAAATACATTTAAATTAAAAAAGAATGAGAGAAAACACGTGAAGGAAGTTGGCGTCTGTAAAGTTCCAGAGAGCAGCGCGGCCGGAGGGCTGGGAAGTGGCTCCAGGTGGAGAAATTAACGATTCTTTTTCACATCGCGACGTGGGACAGTTAAAAAATCCCTTTACATCCAGCTCACTTCCCCTTTTTTCTTTCATTTGCGTAAGGTATTTTTCTGCCGAAACAGAATACGTTTTGGCAACCAGATTCCACCCTGAAAAATAACCAGAATAAAACTATAATGCTCACCAGGTGATTCTACCTGCTTAACCCCTTCAACTTATTCCATAAAAGTTCCTGTTTGGCTCGTGTTCCTTAGGAATCCTTCCCCCTCATTGGAATTATTTTGAGCTTTTCTGCTGGAACACAGAGCCCCAAGACAATCAATTTGACGCTGACGTCCCAATATCAGGAGAAATTCAAATCCTGCCACCTCAGAAAGTCCGAGGGTTTGTTCTTTAACTTGTCAAAAACTGGCAGAAATCACGTATGACCCAAACCCCACCCAACCAAACCCACGCTAAAAGGACGTCAGGTGGGATTCCACCCGGAGAAAACTCCTTTGAACCCGGGCAGTTTGTTGGTGAGGAAAGGCTCAGTGTGCTCCTGAAGAAACTAACTCCAAGAGCCATTCTGTGCATCTTTGTTCGTTCCAGTCACAGAGATGTTTAGAAGACGAATTAACCAAATCAATTAAAAAGAAAAAAACTAGAACCACGGCATCCTGAAGTTTAAACACAGACTAAAGAGGAATCAACAACACAACGTTTTGACAAATGTTCGAATCAGCTAAATGGCCAAGTCTCTAAATAGTAATAAAAATATTTAAATGGGGTGATATATTCAAGTAAGTAATAAATTTTTTGAGATGTTTGTTTCTAAACTGTGAGATATTTTCTGTATCTTATTTTTATCTTATAGATGATCAGTTGTGTTCAGCAGCAGGACTTAAAACACCCGCAGCTTCTCAGCAAACGTGCTGGAAAACGTTGCACCACCTCTCAGTAAGTGTCGCTCCTTAATGGATGGATGATATATCTGTGTGTTGATTAATTAATGGGGGACACATGCACACATCCACACACTAATTAAAAGGTAGTCTAATCAGCTGCTTAAGGCTGACAACCCCCCCCCCCCCCCCCCCCCCCCCCCCCCCTTCCCCCGATCCATTCTTTCATTACTCTTTCCAAAAGCAGAACACCTGATTCTTCCCTTTGTGCGCTGCAGCTTAGGAGGAGTTTTTCTTTCTTTTTCTTTCTTTTTCTTCTTCTTCTGCTGAGTCTGCAGGACCAGACAGGCCACCGGGATACTCGGTTTCTTCTGCTCTCTGCATCTTGTCCCTCCCTAAGCATTCATTATATTCATTTAAACGCGTCTTAATCCTGAGTGCGTATGGAAGAGAAGAAAGGTTTTCGGGTTTAAAAGTCCGGTTAGGAGGATCAGATGTGGAAACATATTTTAACAAAACGAACACAACAAGCTAAAATACAGGAAACGTGGTCAGTATTAAAAATATTAGCGGAATACAAGCCAAAACCAGGGTTCATTCAGTAATGGATCAATTCATTTGAATGACAATAGAAAACAGGTTCTGTAAATCTGCGGGGTGCTTTATTAAAATCTGAGCTGCCTGCTCTTATAATAAAACCCCATAATGCCGTCTCTTTTGATTCCCTGCTGGGCTTGAATATGTAAGATCCCTAAAGATATTTAATGGTGCCCCGGTTCACTTAGTGGGGTAGAACAAGGGCTGCACAAATTCCATAAAGAGCTGGAAAAAGAGTGGCATTTGTGGCATTTGCAGTGTAGCAGACGCAGATGAACCCTCAGGAGAAGAGGTTAGTCAGTAAAAGATTAGGGCAGATGAAGCCACTAACAGCATTAGTCACGCATGTAAAGATAGAATGATCATAGTGGTTGACATGGTGGGTGTTGAGACAAATATATGTGTTTGCATTTTTAGTGTGGATGAATTGCGTCTTTATCCTAATTACCACCAGCATCTAATACCCCTGCTCAGACTTTTATTCAGAGAGTATTTACAGTAAATCATTAATCAGCAGCATTCCCCTTTGTCCAGTATCCTGAAAGTTCAGCTGAGTGAACAATGTGAGCTGAAACCTTCCATCCCAAAGGGCTCTGACTGCCCTGGAAAGTGTCCTATTATGTTTCTCTCTGTTTAAAAAAAAAATCACTTTAAGGTGAGAAGAAAGGAAACTCATCCACTCAAATGTGCTTTTGACACATAGTGTCTCCCGCCTCCTGTGCCCTGCAGCAAGCCAAAAGGCAGCATTTTTCATCCGTCTCATGCTTGACAAATAGGCTTCTAGGTGAGAGTGTCTGTCGACTTAGGCAGGGGGCAGCGGCTCTGACATGCTAATCAATATTCAACAAGCTGTGACCTGAATGGAAGGAGGCTAATAGTAGATATTCTAATAACTTAGGGTGTGTGTGTGTGTGGGTGTGTGTGTGTGCTTTTTTGGGGGGAAGGTGGGTGTGTGTGTGATTGTTTCTGTGTGTGTAGGAGGCTTTTTATCCAGCTCTTTAAGCTTGGGCTCCTTGTCCTATAACTCCCTGGTTTGAGAGGTCAAAGGTCACTGTTGCTTGTGGCCATGTTCAAATCCTTTATAGTGTGTGATGTCCTCAACTGACCCGTCACTTTAGAGAGGGGAACACTGGACAGAGTGTGGGGCATTTTGATGGAGAAATAAAATGAAACAATTTCTCCAAAGCACGCTTTTTGTAAAAAATGTATTTGATTTTATTTGAATTTGTAGCGGAGAGGGCAACTAAATAATTGGGACAAATTAGCTTTTAATGTAAGGGGAAATACATGGCTTGACTAGAAATGTTGGGTTTTTAGCTCGTCAAATGAAAATTAAACCATATAAA